AGTCCTGTGCCCAAGAGACCCTCACCCAGCAACCACCCTCTGAAACTGGGCGTGAAATGTACTTTTCAGCATCAATTAACAAACGCCTTGGGGACAATCAGATTACTTCCTTTGCTTTGTTTTTACTTGGTTGTGAATTCCCTTCTTACCCTGCCTGCCCTCACCACACCCAAGAAAACCACAAACTTTTCCCTTCAGTGTTCATGCTATTACGTGCTTCTTGCGATCCAATACATTTTAGTTTAGGAAAACACAAAACAGCTGTTTTATCTATGATAGATGAGTTGATGCTTTGAGCTTATCCTGAGTAAAAGGATGCAATATAACCGAGTGGAAATGGACATGAAACATTTAAATAGACATTTAATGGACATCAAATATTACAATATCTATGTAGGAAATTATTAAAATGCCATTGACCTTGTTAACTTTTTTGGGTAAGGATTCTGTAATAATATTCTTACTTAACAAAATGAGTTAAACTTTTTCCAAGCAGCACAAAGCTACTTTTACAAGGAGTTCATTTCACAGCTCTTTGAAGAAAAAAATGTATTGGATGCAACTTACTAATTACAAAGTAGACCATACTTTAAGAAAGAAGAGTTCTAATTGCTTGAAGAGAAGATTTATAATCCAAAGGTTGTAGTACCACAACTTTCTAAACATTTCCCATTCCTAAAGAACAAACACATACTGGAAAACTGTGAAAAATAACAGAAAGCAGCTTTCTTTTGGCTGCTATGCAATTGGGTTAATTCTATCACCAAATGAAGTGGTGCAAAAAGATTTATTAGCAATTAAGATCTGAGATGGAAATTGCTTACGGCAGCAGGAAGAGATTTGCTGCTTTCCGAGCATTAAGTCTCCTTTAGATAGTGTGGCAGAAATGCTAAGACATGGCTTGAATCAGTGATTGAGCACCTGGTGGAAAGGCAGGGCCAACCCAGAGGAACTCAGGTGCATGCAGTGCAATGCAATGCAGTGCAATCCCAGACTTCATTTAAGAGTTGGCAGTGGAGGTGAGGGTGTCTTGCTGGAGGTTCCTGTGTACCTAAGGCCTTCTGAAGGTGAGCACCTTCCTTTCTCTATTTCTGTGCTCATGGCTGTTGCATTTGAGCAAGTCCTTACTTGCTACAACCTAAGGCTTTGCTGTTCTGCTGTGCTTTCTATTGTGTTACAGAGTCCTTTTATTGTCTGAGCAGCTTATTGGATGTACCTCCTTTGTCCTGAGACAGAGTGTGGCTTGTGAGTGATGAGGATCTCACTAAAGGAGATGTAAGGAGGCAGGGGAGGTGCTGAGTTTCTGGTTCTTGCAGAGAATTTTATTCCATTGTCATCCAAGCTTTCTTCGCACACAGGAGCGAATGGATAATATGAGAACAGATAAAGGTAGGCAGTGACTATCTGACTGCCTAAGAAGATATTCCAAAACACTTCAGCACTTTGAATCTGATGCTTTGAGTTGAGATACGAGACAGATGCCTTACAGTTTTCAAAGAGTGCAGGACCTTCTGTGCGTCCACAACTTTGGAAATACTTCAGCAAATAAGTCATAGAATCACAAAATATCCGGAGTTGAAAGTGGTAACTTCATGCAGTTGGTGATTGCCCAGCCCTCTGATTTGTCAAGATCTCTCTGTCAGCCCTTTCTACTCTCAAGGGAACTAACAACTCCTCCCAGTTTAGTTTCATCTGTAAACTTACTTAATGTGCATTTATATCCTGCATCCAAATAATTTATCAAATGTCGGGCCCCAAAATGAAGCCCTGCTAGCGACTGGCCACCAGCTCAATGTGATTCCACTTACTATAAATATGTTCCTGTACTGCATGATGTCACTTTGTTTCCCTCAATTTTTTTTTTTATTTTATTTTTATTTTTGGAATTGTAGAAGTCTCTCCACTGTTTGCTGAACTTCCTTGTTTTAACAGTGAGCAGCTGCTTACCATTAGTCTTAAAGCAGACATCTTGAGATGTTTCTTTAGTTAAATAGTTTTGTTTTCTTGTATCTGGTTTGTTTCAGGTGGGGTATTGTTTACTACTTTCTTCATACATTTCTCAGAAGTTTGAACTAAAATGACCTAAGAAAACTCAATTTACTCAGACTGCAAGGAAGAATCAAGGTGCAGTGTAAGCCTTCAAGACTAAATCATGCACACTCTATAAGCGAACTGTGCATTCATGTGGATATGACTTGAAGTTGTTTAGTGTTTTTAGGGTGGAAAATTTCCACTGAACTTTGGATCAAGTCTTTAACAATTTCTAAGGTTTGAAAAATAAGGCTTGATGAAAGGTTACAAACACAGCAGACCAAGTGGCCAACTGGCAAATCTTCCAGAGTGCATTCTCATAGCCAGAAGTAGTTATTAGTAGTAGAAGGCTTTCTAAGTGTGTTTTCTTTGGCAGCTGGTACACACAAAAAACCTCTTGGCTACACCCAGAGAAGATTATTATATTAAATTCTTAAATTACTATTACACTGAATTCTTAATTGAGGATATTGGGAGTGTCAGTAATCAAAATTGCATCAAGGATGGAGTCGTTCTTGTGGGAGCATATGGGTTTAGTTGAATGATCACAGAAGAAAACTAAAGTTTTTTTAGTGAATGCTTTATGGCACATAAGCAACCCTGAGAAGATCGTGTAATTCACAGCTTGTTTACAGTAGTCTTTATTTGTGTAACTGACCCTAATTTATTTTTTTACCTCTGGTTAGCTCACCATTTAAAATGAAGCCTTTAAAGAGTGGTGGACTGATACACATCACTAGAGTGTCCTGCCTTGAATGCTTACTTTCTCAGCCTTCAATAAGAGAACTATGCAATGCTTACTTTGAGACCTACAGGGAATGCAGTGTATGTAAATCTAGGTGTTCATGACTTCAAACAACTGGCTAGATTGAAAGCACCTATGGAGGTGTAATGGTGATTGCTAGCTTCTACTTATTTTGACAAAGTGAGCTAAAAATCTCTTCCATGGAAGGCCCTGAAGCGTGCTAAAACTATGTGGAATCTTCTAAAGCTTAGCATCACTTCTTTGAAAGGAAACCCTATGTTTAGCAATGCAAAAGTAAACACACGTTTGATCAGGCTTAATGTAGCAAATTGATAACATTTTTCTAGAGGCAAAAGGGCTTCAGTATTTAAGACTGCAAAGATCCACATGTGGATTTCTTTATTCCTCTGAAGCTTGTATAAAAAAACTTCTAATCCTAAAAAAGGCTGTAAATATTGTTGTTACTCTCCCTGTTCTGAGACAGGAGGGTGGGTAAGGAACCCTTGCTTAGTATGTTGGTGGTTTGTACAGTGAGAATGGCCATGCAGGACTTCAGAGCAAGCTGCACTTTGTCATGTGGTGATTTTGCTTCTAGTGAGGAGTTGGCTGAGGTGAGCCTCTGGTGGATGAAGACGCATACAGAGCAGGATAGTTAACAGGACCAGGATGATCAGAAGCAGCATTAACAAACTAGTGCTACTCCAACAGCTACAGCAGTATCTTGTTTGGAGTTTTGTGCTTTACAACTTTCTCATGTTTCAGTGTTGTAGAGTAATACCTACAGTACGAGCTTGAAGATATTTCCTGCATCGTGAGGTTTAATAGTCATGTCAGCAGTTAGCTTGAGAACACATTTAACTTGGGGTACAGTTACAGTAACAAGCTGTACCAGGGCTGCTCCAAAAGTAATGCCTTCTATATTTATCATGTCAACCCATGACAGCAGAGGAGGATGGTGGTGATATGGTGGAAGTTGAACCTTCCTACCAGTATCCTACTACATGTCATTGATGTGTGACAGATGGCAGCAGAGGGACAGTCTGACAAAATGGCATCTGACGTGGAAGGATATAGGAAGTGAAATGTGTGGAACAGAATTCCACCATGTGGAAACAATTGCACCCATTTGGTCCAGAGTTCTTAGAATTGCTTGACAATCCCTGGATTTCTAGAATATAGAGCAACCCTACAACGGTGAGGTAAAGGAGCCATAAGAAACCCAGAGTTAGTATCAAGCTGCCATGGCACGTTGCCTAGGTGGGGAGCACTGCTATCCTAAAGTTCTACCAGCACTTGATCCATACACAGTGCAAAAAGTTGTGTTAAGACTAGTGGCAGAATCAGCTGTCTACTTTCAAACATCAGCAATTTTTGTCTAGTAATTCAGCTCTGATTGTGAAGATTGAGGATATTCTTCTTTGCCCTTAATTAGCAGTAGATCAGTATGCTTGTGTAAGCTAAACAGTGAATCTCTTAAGGAGCTTATTTTAATGCAGAGTGGAAATGGATATATATCTTTCGTTTGTTTACCTCAGAAATTAATCTAAACATTGTACTTCATAGACCGTGCCGCTCAGTTCAGGCTGAGTAACATCAGATTCATCAGCAACTCCTTAGAAATATTTCCCAAGCTCATACATCACCATGAGAGAGAAATAAATTGATTCAAGTTACAGTAAGAAATTGCATATCAGATGCTGAGAAATTAACTCCATGGTTGTGAGCAGGAGAAATCTTCGGTAAGTGGGGCATCTGCTGGTAAGGCACTGCAATGAACTATCTACTGTGTGCTCCAAAGCCTGACCCAACACAGGCCATTCTGTGCTCCATTTGTCTGCCAAATAAGCAAGAACCAAGCCTGGCTACTGGGTTCTTTAGTCCAGATCATTCCTTTTCTCTTTGCATAAATCCCTACTTGTCTGTCGCTCCTTTAGAGATGTCTGACACATACATTGCAACAGTAATCTTGTGAATGTAGTTTGGCTTTTGTTTTTTAAAGAAAAGGGAAATGGGCCAGTGAAACTTTTCAGAAGATGTGACACAAGTCTCAAAGCATTTCCAGCCTCCCCCCCCCCCCCCAAACAAAATTTCATTGCAGATTCTCTCTCTGTTAGATTATATGGCTTTCTTTCTTGTACTTTGATACTCTGGTCCCAAGAGTGTGAAAATGAATATTGTGCACAGGGAAACACAACAATAATCTAGAGAAAGAAAATCCGGAACAACAAAACATGGAAAGCATGATTCAGCACTGAAGCCACATAAATCCTACTAAAAGCAAGAGTAAGAATTAAATTAAGCATTTCATCTTTTTTATCCATTTAACATTGAAATTATGCATCTCAGTCCTACTGAGCCATCCATAAGTTCTATTGCCTCCAGCAGTGATAACTCTGTCAGTAGAGCCTATAAAATATGAGGTCAGTATCTCCACTGCCTTAACAAATGAATCTTTTCTGTGATTAAATTAGAATTCTGTATGTCTTACAGTTGTGGATGCTCATTGAAAAGAATAGAGGGAAAGCAAGTTTGTTTGCTGTTTCCAGAGTCCAACAGTGTGAACTTGGCCTATGTTTATCCTCTTGCTATCTAACTGCGTTGCTCTAAGTTTCTCAGTTTTGCATTTCTAGTAGTTGGCAGACTCATGAGATTTTTATTTTCCATTTACTGGCAAACAGACAATTTGCTGTAGAAGTTATTGATATTAGGCACCTTCCTGATTCTGATAGGCAAAGCTACGCTGTCCTTTGCTGGAAGAAGTAAGCCTTACAATGAAGCCTTTGTCAGTAATAAGGAATCTACTTTTTCTCAGCACAGCAATATACATCTTTATAATGGTTAGGGAACTTGTGGTGTAATACTTTAGCATGAGTGTTATTTCTCTTTACCCAGAAGGCATAAGTCAAAAGTACAAGGTTGCATTGAATGTCTGTAGTGTTTTTCTATGATTTTTTTTCTTAAAATGGCAATTTAAAATAAAATCTTAGGTAAGTATTAGATTTTTCTTTATATGAAGAAGGTGAGGCTTTCCAAAGTTCTTTCCTTAAAATTATCTAGCACAGTTAAATAGCTGTAGGCACTAAATAAAACAGGAGGGATAAGGAGTACAAGGGAAGGGTGCCGTGGAAGGTATTACTGTCTCCTTTATATTTTAGAGATGAAGGGAAGTTGGAGAAACAACTAGTTTTGTGTCTCTCCAAGCCATTAACATTCCTGTATTCTCTTCTTTTTTTCCACGTGCGTTGGTTGGTCATGGGGTGGATTATTCCACTGAGGTATTTCAGGAGCTTTCAGTAGAAGAAAGAGGCACATCCAGAAGAAATTGGTAAAAATATACTCGAGCAGTTCTATGATTGTAATCATACTGGCACCACAAAACAATCCAAGCTGACCACCTACATCAGCTGTGAGAGAAGAAGATAAACATATGTCATCCAAAGTGTTTGGTTTAGTCTAGGAGGCAAACAAAACCTTGCCACAATTCAAGTGCTTAATAAATTCAAAATACATAATCCATCACCTTATGAAAACAGAATTACTGTTCTTAAGAATGTTTATGGGGAAAAAAAGACAAATGTGTTTCTTAATTTTAAACAAAGCACATACAACAACATATTTTACTGTGGAATGTGTACTTAAAATATTTCCTACTTCTGTGCTTTCTTAGCCATTCTCTTGCTTTTCCTCCCTATGTTTTTCTTCTCCCCTTTGAATTCCAGAAACTTCCTACTCTTGCAGTTAGTTCAGCATGTTGTATAAATGAAAACTACTGCAAGATTTAATTATTATTCTTAACTGTTTTCCCTACTGTAGGTCATTAATGGCATGGCAGGAGGCCTATGGAAAAGAAACAGAAGGCAAATATGCTTATTATCACTATAGTGTAAAAGGCATTGTTTTTTATTTATAAACCTGGATAGTCTAGGACTTGGGAGGGGAGAGAATTAAAAAAACAAAAACAAAAACCAGATGTTTTAAACATTATTTTTTTTTAATTGATCAGCAATAAACGTTAAAAATTCCCTTACCAAGCAACTCAGGTATGGTCAAGGCCTTCTGCTGCTGAGTTATTCTGTAGCTCAGATCATCGTATTTAATGTCAATAGTCACGAGGTTATTCCTAATGATAAAATACATGCAGTATTACTTGAGAGTGCTGTCCAGGCTTACCAACATCCGTCAGTATGGACTGAGTTCACGCAGTGATGGTGCCTTGTAAAAGACAATCAGGTGGGAATTAGAAAAAAAAAAAAAGAGAGTTAAAAAAAAAAACAAAAACTGAAAAAGTGTACTAATAGCAATAGTTGTAAGACGAGGTCATTGGAGGAATTAGAACATAGCCTGAAGAGCAACTCAGCCTAAATCTACACTGTGGGATAAACTCCTTTTTCTTAAAGGCTGCAGAGATAAGCTTGAGGGGAAGTGTTAACCATCTGAAGCCACAGCAGAGATAGTGCTTGGAAATATACTCTCCTGCTGTTGTTTATGTGCAAATGCCTGTGTAATCCTGATAATTTCAATGGCTGTATTTGTGCAAAAAATCTCTTGCCCTATACTCAGATGCCCAGTTCTATCCTCTGCTAATAGCCTCTCTTACCTAATTATATTCTTGCTGCAAAAGTGGAAGAGTGGGTAAATCTTTGTTGGAGCAGGACATGTAGAATGATTCAGTGTGAATAAAGAGCTCATCTTTATGTTGCCGTGGCTACAGCGTAACCGCTAAATAGAAGATAAACATAACAGTAGTGGAATGAAACAGACACAAAAACCAGTTGCACTCGTGACGTCACGACATTTTAGAACAAATGTAGTGAACATTATTCAGAAGTCTGAACAGTTACAGGCATGGAGGTTGAAAATGGCGATGAGCTTATTCATCTGATGTTCACTGGAAACACGGTGTTGGTTACACAGAGTGACTGCCCTCCCTTTAGTTGATAATTCTAAAATCTAGGTAACACTCAGTAATTAAAATAATCCTTTTTCCATGGCTTTTAATACTAAGTCCTCCTACAAGTGTCACGTGGTTGCTAGTGGCACTGTACAGTAAGGTAGTAAGCAGTGAACTTTTCCCTTCTGTTGTCAGAAATTAATCAGGACCTGTTTTATAGCTCAGAATAAGTATTTGTTAATACTTGGGCTGAATTCCTATTGGTTAAGGCTTGGTAACAGAAGAATGTTCTGTATTTTTTTTCTTGCCTAATTAAATGATTGTGGGGCTGTACATCATGTTTACAGGCAATAACATAATTAACAAAGATAAAATGTTCTCAAAGGATTATTATCTTTTATGTATTATAATGGGTGTCATTTTCCTAATCTTCATATAGTTTCTGTCCAAGCATAAATGTATGGAAGCATCTGCTGACTGTTGGCTCTACAAGTAACAAACCTTAAGTCACTGAAGCAATGAAATACTCATGAATATTTCATCAGCCAGATTGTTTGCTGCTGTGTATAACTTGAATCTGTGGATATTATCAATTTGTGTAACATAGGTGATGTACCTCTGTGGTGTAATTTGGATTATGAAACTATACTAAATGTTCTTTGGCAACTGGATTGTATCTTTCTAGCAAAAAAAAAAAAACAACCCACAACATAGAAATCCTTGTACTGGATATACGATGCTTGTTTTTCAAGGGAGTTCAGTATCACTTTATTATATTATAACTGTAAGGCACATATGCCTTATTAAATCACAAGTAGTCTTGATATTTCTTCCATGAATTTAAATCTATTCAGGTTATGTTAGCTCAGCACTACTACTGAGAAACACAGCTACATGCATAATGTAAGATCTAACATAATTTCATGGATAAAATGTGTTGTCAGTACCATGGAGACTTATTTTCACACTAAATCTCTTCTTTGGGTATAGTCCCACTTTTTTTCCCTCTATGTAGAATTTTCTTTTACGTGGGTAGAATCATACTGCTTTTCTACTTCAAGAGAATATGGTGCCAGATATTTTCTAAATATTTTTTTAGTATTGAAGTGGTATTAATGCAGTTTTACTAACAGTAGAAAAGAGTATTACGCTTTGCTGTGATAAAACCTAGCTCTTCAGAACTTTCACAGCTTTTTTTGCTGATGCATTGAGAGAAAGGGCAGGCAGTTTATCAGCACAGTTTGGGGTTGTCCACTGACTTCTGTGGGATGGATTGCTTGTGTGGACTGTAAGTGGATTTCATAACCCTACCCTTTCTTTATTTTTAACTATGAAAAGTTAGGTAAAACTTTAATTTTGTAAGAGATCATTGGAAAAAGTAATGGAGAACATTGCTTTTAAACTGGAGTTATTTGTTTATGGGATCCACGAGTCTTAGTTGTACCTACGTATTCATATATAAATTCTAATGCAATCTATTAGGCAAAACTGATTATCTCACAGTATCTTTAATAACACTTAAGAGTGTATTTTTAAAAAGGTCCCATCATATTGTGCAACTCTGTTTGCACACTTAGAAGTAATTGATCATTTCTTTATTAGGCAAGCTGTTAAAAACTATTACCTGATGTACTCTGGACTCTTCTTCAGCTTTGCAGAAATGTATTTAATGGCATTTTCTCCTCCAAAACTTGAGTAGGTGACAGTGGTAGGGTAATGTGTTTCTTCACATGGGGCAGGGCAAGTGGAGTTGTGGGTTCCTACTGTACATAATCCTTTTACCTCTATATCATCTGAAAATTCAGGAGAAATATCTTGCACGTTTCTGAAAGAGCACTCAGCAGTAAGACTTTTCTAACCTTACAAAATGACTTCTGATTTCTTTTTTTATAAAGACTCGTACTGGTTATCCTTAGAAAAGTGGATACTTTTTTGAAGCAACAAATATCTGCAATTAGCACTTAGGAAACTGGAAAAAAAAAAAAAAAAAGGAGGGCAAAATTTCTTTCTGAAGTATGAACTGCAATACACAGTTATTCTTTTGAGGTGGGTGCTACAGTTCTCTGTTTGTAGTGCCTGTTGTCTTTCCTCTGCCTCTGAGCTTGTTTTTGCTTACTGGAAGGAAGGAGGCATCTAGGTCTGCTAGGGGTGATTTGATGCGTTCTTCCCCCCCGAATAACTAATTAGTTTATACACTCTCTTAATTATCAGCTTCTTTGAAAAGGGGAGAGGGGAGAGCTCACATTGCATAGCTGCTCTCAAAGCAAAAGAGGATTTCTAAAATTTATGAGAAGCTACTTCTCAGATTCTCTGGAAAATACCATTAATGATAATCTGCTGTGATGATTAACAAATTCCATATCTGCTGTGTGCAGCTCATTTGCTCATGGGAATGAGCTACATGTGAAACATTCGTTTTATATACAAAAAGATTGCCTCTTAAGAGCCAGGCATTTTCTTTTTTTTTTTTTTTTTTTTTTTTTTTTTTTTAAATCAGTCACCAAACTTCTTATTCCATCTGATTTCTATTTTCAGAATATTAAATGAACTGGGATGTGCTCCATTTCAGTATTACTTTCAATAATTTGGGGTATTTTCTGCTATTTGGGGTTTGCTTACAAAATATCGATATGAAATTATTACTTACGGATTGCAGGATAAACACAATTGTAAGACTTCATTAAATCACACTCTATTCCATTTCCTTAAAAAGAAACATTCTTTTAGGAGCTTAATTGAACAACCTACCCTTAGCTCTGAAAAAATAACGTCGTCAAAGCCTATGTGCTACTTCATACTTCTCATTATACATCTGAGATAACAATTTACTCCAGCACAGTGCAGGTACTAAACCCAAAATTTATGTTTATTTAACCCAAATCTTTATGTTGTCTAGCTAAGGCAAGAGATTTCTGGTTGTAGTGTTGGAATTAAAAAACAAAGGGGGTGGATGGAATCCAGCTACATCCTAAACACTTCAGACCTCATGGAAGATTACTCACATAACTTCTGTCACAACTCTGGGGCATAGTCTTTTCTTTCAAGGTTTTCTTGTCTAAAAATGGCTGATGATCAGAAGCTAAGTCCACAGTAGACCAAATACTTTGCTTGTAATCTCAGAATTAAAAAAAAGACAAATATAAGTAATATCCCAGCTGAAGTTATCCTGCAGAGATCACTTCTGCCATTCAGCAGTGGGATGTCTCCTAGCAAGGTAGTCTTTATATATAAAGTGTGTGTATATATATATATAATATTTACATATTATGATATAATATTTACATATTATGATAGTCCAAAGAAATACCTGGAAGCATAAAAGGTGAACAGCCGCACCAATCCTGTATATACCAGGCCTTGCATTCCTGCAAACAGCCATTAGTAGTGTAAATATCCTGGTACTGAAGTTTGATATCAGGCTTGCACTCTCCCCATGGATATTCTTGAATGATTGACTGTAGGGTATTGATAACAGAAGATCAACATTTGTCCCTTTTAATATAGATACAGTTTTCCCATATTTTTAAGTGTTAAATGCAGCATGTTTAAGATGTAAAGCAGAAACATGATTTAATTAAGAGGCAATTACAGCTTATGCTTTTGGAATTGTAAAGTCACTTCCACTCTCACACAGCAAAACCAGGACCTGTTCAGACAGCCCAGGGCAGTGGGGTAGGCTTTTCAAGTAGCACCAGGAGAGGATACCAGGATTCTAATAAATCATTAATATTAATGACACTTGCTGATGGACAGCTATTGCTGTAGCTGCAAAGGCATCATTGCATCAGTAAGACTGCAGGATGCTAACTTGAGTAAAAGCAGATTAAGCAGACCGTCGATGTCACCGAAAGCATTTTTTCATAATGACTGTATTAATTATTTTCTTAATGACGTATTTTAACTTCAGAAGCATCTAATTAATTGTTGTGTCTCAGAAGAGAACCAGTGACAGCGAGCACTGATATTGTCACTCTTTGGTCGAGGTGCTTACCTTCAGCTGCTGAATCGCGACCTGTGCATGCATGCCAACTGGTGTTAGCAAACCTAACCCATCAAAGCGTGGCATCTCTTTGGGTGAATGGATAACAAACGTGATACCAGCATCAGTATAACCGAGGGCAGGGTCATCGGTGAATTGCTTCTGATGCAAAAAAGAATTATTGAAAATGGTTTCGGTTTTGCTTACGTTCTGAAGAGTTAGCAATATTTAAATAATGCCATGGTTTTTTGGTCTTACTTCTCTAGTTTTCTTCTAGCAATTTACAGAAGAGTTTGGAAACAAACCAACTGTAATTTCCTTTGGTGATTATATTGCGGGGTTTTCTTCCTGTTACTCTAAATTTCTAGGTTTTTTTTTCTATTCTATGTTCAAAAGCAAGAGGCATAGATAAACCTTCATTCACTACTGCTACCCCACATGTCAACAAGCTTTCCACTGTTCTCTTGAGATCCTGTCACTTCTCTCCCTTACAATTTCCAATGAGCAAAAGTGAATGTTTAACTCTTCTATAACTGTAGGTTTTAGTTTTCTTTCCTCATCTCACAAGGTATTCCATGAGCTTTGTTTTTTTGTTTTTTGTTTTTTGTTTTGTCAGTTACAATACTAATAAGGCCAGAAACTATTGATAGTGCAAAGACCAGACCCTCAAGTGTTTGCATAAAATTAAATTACTTCTGGTGTTTTTCAGCTGTAGGTACACTGTATACATACATGCTTGCTTGCAGCTTTCAAAGCCATTTAGCTGGTACAGAGTCAACAGTCATTCAGAATTTTTAACCCAGTTTTGGATCTTTACAATACACTTTAACTCAGGAGCAGTCTTGAGAAAGAATTTTTATGCAAGAAATCTGAATGCCTGATTAAAACAAGAACTCACAAGATAAACAGATGGTTTTATATGATTAAATGTTAAAATCATTAGTATAGCTGTACCTGTTGGACATCAAAAAGTAAATGTAAGCCTCTTCCAGACAAGCTCACACTTCTTGCTGGAAGGTCGTTGTGATTAAAAGTGAAGCAGTTTCCATATTCAGTGAAAATGTGTTCAAAATCCTTAAAAAGAGAAAAAAATAAGGAAGAATAGCATGGGGGGAAAAACAGAACTTGCATTAGTGAATCAAAATTGTTGGTTGGGTTTTTTCTTTTTTTTTTTGTAGATCTTCCCCAAAGGCAACACTAAAATTTACAATTAGTAAAGATGGAAAAAGCATTTCAAATCCCTTTCTACAAGAAATGACCTATAGGAATTGAAAGGGTAAATTCACATAATTTATTAATGCCCATGAGCTAGTCAAAATCATTAAATGAGGTTTTGATTTTGTACCTATTATGTGCTGTTGAAATGATGCATTCAGTTCAGTTTTTCCAGCGGTTGTTTAGTGGAGACTGTTTCAAATGTATGCATGATAATGAATAAGGGGGGTAAAATGTCTGCATTTTTTCCCCAAACCATTTCATTGAACTGAAAACCTTTGCTAATATGACTGCATTCCGTAGCTTTAATTTTAGCTATTGGATACTTGAGTGTTTTGAGTCAAGAGAACTCACTAGTGACTAATTTCTAGAAGCTACAACATATCTAAAGGGTGGATTAACCTGAAGGTTTGTAGGACCGACTCTTCTGTTCACGTATTATATTGAAAATGGGAATTGTTTTTTGGAAAAAATAACATTCAGAGGAGGATCACATTCTTTTGTTACCTTCTGAAACTCCAGAAGATAGGCTATATTAATTTAGAATTCTTTTGGGCTCTGCCTGCAGTTACCCTGGCTGTCCATGTTCTTGATCTCAAGAATAAAACTAATTACATCAGTTGAATGCATCTGCAAAACTATGTCATAGAAAGAAACTCCCTTCAAAACAATGTCATAGGCTTTTTAAAAGGAAGATGGCTGGGTGGAGCTTGAAGGCATAACAAATAACATTTTCAAAGACTGCTATCTAGGCAGAAGTGGGATTGAGCAGGGAGTAATGCAGACTGAAATTCCATGCTACAGCTCAGGGAGTCCAGTAGGCTGTCCTGCTGAGCTGGGCTCCTCCTCACAATGATTTACAGCTCGATTTTATTTTATTTTTTTTCTTTTCTTTCCACTGAATGACTATAAAGGAAAGCAGAGGGAGTAGCTGGCAAAGCCAGATATCTGAAGTCAACTCCCTCTCCATTCTGTTCTAGTAAAGGCAAAAGTATTTACCTCTGGGTGACATGTCTTCCCAAAAAATTCACATTCTAGCAGTGTGCTGCCATTCAGATAAAATCCGTTTTCCCTTGTGAACTCTTTAATGCTGAAGTTTTGGTTTCCAAGAAGGAAGCCATTTAGCTCTTGGAAATATTTGTCTTCCATAGAAAATGTTTGGACAATTCCAGACACAATGTTCCAAAGGAAAAAAATGATTTGAAGGTTACTCACTGCATGAGCTTGAAACCTGTCAATGGGAAGGAGAAAGAATTACTTGGGGTTCTGCAGAATTACTGGACCAATTTCAGTGCTCTTTTTGCCAACTATGTGACGTGGTTTGTTGCTTGTTTTCAAACTATACCTCATTCCTGTCCACCACGCCTGCACTTTGATCTCTAGTACATGGATAAACAATGTAGTCTTAATTTCTAGGAAACATTTTCAAACGAGAACAGAAAAGGACACCTTCCCAGGACTACTATATAAAGACCTCTGTTGTGTGGGGCTACTAAAAAAACAAGCAAATAAACAAAACAGATTGGCTATCTACATCATCCAACAGCCACAACCGTAGAGCCAATTAAAAGCTGGACAACTGTGTTTACATGAGGAGCCATGGGAGGACCAATTCCTTTTTGGAAAAAAAAAAAAGAGCTGTGTTCCTTCATTCGTAAAACTGATTTCTATGTGCATCTCATGTACCTGTGTTACTGTGGCACTAAGTCAACCTACTTGTGTGCTCTGTCATTGGTGCCATAGTAGCAGGAACAAAACGTGATCCTTTCTCCTAGAATCCTTTGGAAATCTCAGAACTATGAGATGTTGGATGTGCTAAAAAGACAAAGGAAGATTTGTGCCTCTTTGCTCTGCCAGCAAAGAAAATAATACCTGAAAACAGGAGTGAAGAATAAGCACAACAGGAACAGCAGATGGATGTGGCTACAAATTGTCACTTAGGCAGACAACTGGTAGCCAACTGTTTTATTGCTATGTGCTGCCACTATAGTTAGAACGAATGGGAGATTTTAATAATGCATGCACAACTCAAGGAACTTCTACTTGCAGTGTATATTCTACAGTATAACCCAGAAGGACTTTACATAGGGTGATGGGAATGAAAAACAGTGAGGCAGAAAGGCACCAGATGTTTGGGACTTGGACCTTCATGTTGATTCTGGCAACAAAGGGTAGAATATTTCAGAACTTATCATTCTTGAGAAAACAATGTGAGTAAAATTATTTTTCTAAATTACTTGCATGTGACGTATAAAAATTGGATTGTAGATTTGTTGCTTTCTTTTCTCAAAAGCAGTTACATCTGAATTGTGACCACTACTTTCAGCTTTAGTGAAGTTCCTGCTTTGGTATATGGCTTTCAAACACGCCAAATGCTTTCCTCTTACAGATCCCACTGACATCAGCTGGAACTACAAAGGGCGAGCACTAATGAGAAAAAATAACTGCTTTGCCTAAAGTTTCTGCATTTGTATGATGTTTGTATTTAAACTTATCTGAAAATGTTGTCTTTTATTTTTGACTTCTATGACTGATTATTGTCCCTTAGTTACGCTATAGAAGGAGCACTCATTGGCTATGATTTTACATGGAAGAATGTTTATACTTCCAGCTTTTGAATATTAAAAATCTGGGGCGTAATTCATCATTTGAAGATGGAAGGAGATTAAAATTCTGCCTTCCCAAATTCTCATATTTTCTTCTTTAGCTGAATAGTGGTGTGGAGCATAGATCCCAGATTTGTGTTTTGCAGCCTTCATGAAAAGAATTATGGAGCCCTGCTGCTTTATATTAGCCAGATAAAGAGATGTAGCCTCTCAAGAGCAAGCAACAAGCATAACTTTTACCTGTTCAGGTTGCAAAAAGTCACAGCAGGGAATTTGACATTTTCCACATGCTGAACTACCACTGTAGTGGTGGTTGGCCAGCTGAAGTAGTAGTTAAAGCGACTGCAGATCTGCCAGATGACGATGCCAAGACAGGCTGTGACTACTAGCAGCCACAGCACTCTGCGTGTGCTGCTCTGTGTTTGAACAATTTTATGCACTCCATGGAACGATGTGGATGAGGCAAACTCCTGACGATACTTCCTTCTGTCTTCCAAGCGTGGCAGAAGTTTCTTTGTTAAGTACAGTCGAATCTGATCCAGTTTTCCTAAGTGTTGACCAAATGAAAACACACGTTTTTTTAGATCAGCATTTAAATGGCTTTTAGGAAAGGGAGCTATGTAATTAAGATGCTGGAGAGCATCTAGAAAGAGTCATAAACTCTTTGATTAGTGGGCTTCTTTCTAAGGGTAGTCTAGAGTTCTAGAAGATGCATGCTAGATTAGCTCAGTTCTATAATCTCTGCCTGAGAACAGACTATATTGTGCAATATTTTATGCCACGTGACTATTAAGCATAGCAATATAAATGAGTAGTTCCATTTCCATGGAAAAGATTGGATTTTCGACATAGCACAGGATGCTGTAAAAAGCTAAACATCTGATTATTAAGGTCCTGGTCCTTCCTGCTTGCTCTAAAAGATAAAAAGGGAATTGTGCATTTTTCAGACTTTCACCCTTAAATTACTGAAGGTTTTTCTATGTAAAACTTGGAGGGTTACAGATTCAAAAGGAAATCTACTCTCCTACCCTTAGGTCTGTATTAGTAGATTTAAGTGTGGCACATTTTCTTGCATGAAACATGAACTTCATTAAACTGATTTACTAGAAGTTGTTACAGTTGGGAGGAGGAGCAAAAGAATGTGCAAGTTTTCTGCCCAAGCTGTCTTGACCACATCAACTCTCTGGGATGTTGCTTTGGCCTGTGAGCAATGTGATAATTAAATTCCAATTGGTTCTGGATTTCAAAACGTTTCTGAAAGGAAACAGCTTTTTATGGTTTTTTTAATCATTCATATAAGAATTTTAATTCAATGCTAGTATGATTTACTTCAACTATTATGACTGTTTCTCCTGGAGAACTGCTCAAAAGTTTCTCTCCTAGCTCTAGTGACTTTTGGATCCTTTGCAAAGCTGTTTAGGCATGGGTGCTTTTGTACTTCACATTGTAACAAAGGAGAAATGATTAGAAACTGTTTTCTCTGCAGACCGCAGTACCGACCCAAGGCGTATAGGTGGAACAAATTTAATGTTCTCTTGTTGCAAGACATAGATATTAGATATAGATATTGGCCACTGATTTTAGGATATGAAGACACTTTTCTTTAAGCATTCATCTTTGGTCTCAGTCTGGGTCTCTTAAAAAAAAAAAAAAAAAAAAAAAAAAAAAGCAGTGATTTAAATATATTTAAAATGGTTGTACAATGTCATTAAATGGTGATGCTGACAATAAATAGACAAAAAGGCCTTGGACAAACGTTAGGTCTTAGCTCTCTCAATAACTTACTGTTTGATATGCATATCTTTTGGTAAGGATATAAAGTACTTTTAATATTGACTCTGCAATTAAAAAATATAATTATGTGGATTTAAAAGAAATATTAACAGAGAATCCAAAGGTTAAAGGATGGATAAGCAAGGGGGTAAGTAAATCAGAGGGATCCAGGTACAGCAGCAAACAGCATGTTTCAGTGTAGGCAAATATGGAACATGCATGTAATAAGGCAGGCAGACCTACGTTCAAGGATGAGTTGCAGATAGTTTGCCTCAGGAAATGCTGACTGCTGAAGAAGCTGTGAGAGCCATGATTGGTCAGAGAAACCTGGTTTCTCAGTCCAATGCTTTTAAAGAAGAAATAAGTTATCTGAATGTGTAACCAGAGATACTAGGACAGGGACTTACTGTTTTGGGTTGGTCTAAAAACTTCAGAAATTCGCATTATCTTTAATGCTAAGCTGAATTTAAATAAGCTTTTTTTTTTTTTTTAACCTTGGTAAGTTGACAATTCATCACAATCCATTAACACTTGAATGGGGAACTAATAGGTAATAGTAATGGGCTCTTTTGATTTAGTGTGGGTGGGAAGATGTAAAAGGACCCAGTGAAAAGATCAGGAAGCTGAGCTCTTTCACAAAAGAAATAAAGTACAGCATCTTGAAAAAGCAGCTTGTCTTCATCTAGAGCTGTTGTTATCTGGAAGGAGTCATTTCAAGCAGGTTACATGTGGCTTTTGCCACCTTTACAAAGGTTACTTAGTCTGGATAGATTCAGGGTTTTTGTTTATCCTTAATCTAAAAGTCATCACATTAAGACATCGTTCAGAAAAGTCATTGCGTTGTGTTACTTTTATTCTACATGCAAACAGGACCAATAGCTAGAGAGTATTCCTCATGTCCTAAGAGAAACATTTTTCTGCAAGCTTTGCTTCATCTCTCCCTTCTTTATACCTTGAAGATATATATGACTTCTATTTTGGATAAGGTTACAAGAGAGGAGAGGCAATGTTTCTCATTTCATCAGTCCTGACAAAAACACCTAAATGTAACTAAAACTTTTGGTGAGGTACTCTAATACGTCCAATTACTTACCTTTAGCATCAAATTGAGTGAATCTCCCCAGCTGGTCCATGAGGCTGTGCTTATTTCAGTAAGGAGGGAAAGGATACTGTAAGCTGCCTTATCACTGTGATCATTGCTAGCTAATGGCTTTTATAGAAAACTAAATGGGAGGTGATACTTGATGACACAAATGCTGGGCAATTTACCTGCCAGGGTTGCTATGTTTTTCCTTTAGATAACATGGTCTGCAAAGTAAAAGAGAAGATTAGTTTTGAGAAGATAATTTTTATGGCAGGATCAGATGTTCAAGTACCTATTACACCAATAATAGTAGAAATGCAGTCTACTGTCTTGTTGCATCACCTTGTAAGTTAATTCTTCGTAATTTCTTTTTGTTTTAGAAAGACATCTTCAGAAAAACTGTGCTGTTCCAAGTTGAATACATTCTCTTTAAGCAGATAAGGAACCCTTTCTCTGGAGGGCAGTGGATATCTGCCTCTAAGCTCCTACCAGCAGCAGGATGTAGCTCACCCTCACTTCCAATAGCTGTCTTTATAACCAGGTGCAGATTTCATGTTTCTGTGGGCTTCAGCAAGAAATGGGCTGCAGTTCTTGAGAACTAACCCTGAGGGTGAGGAAGATGCATGCAGTTGGTCATTCCATTAACTTCTTATCAGAGGGAACAGAAACCACTTTCAAGGCGAGTGAACGGTGTATTCTTGTTTGAAAACAATTTCTAGTAAACAACTGGGCATCAAATGAAAGGCAGTGGAAAATAACAGGAAGTTAAAATACGAGATGTGCTTTGTTAGTCTTTCAGGAAGATTTGAAAACTGTCACATTCACTTTCTGATCTGCAGGGGATGGAGATCTTGGGGTGTTTTTTTTTTTACTCTCATAAAAGTCCACTTCAATGCCTGCAGCACGCTTGGGTTCCTGAGTGTGCTAACTTGGTTCCTCAGTGCCTCACTGGCATTCACAGTTTGCTGGCTATTTTCTGGCAGTGTTGCTTAAGTGATGAGCTGCAAGTTAGATCACTGAGCTCCATTTACTCATTCCAGCGTGAAGAGCGCATTTCTGCACTCTTGGAAAGCTTCTTGGAAAGATGGCCTCCTCCTTTTGTTACTTTTGCCTCATGCATGAGGCTTTCTACCACAGTAAGCTTTGAGCAGTACTTGCATTCACTCAGGCAGTAAAGTACTTAACAGTAAACTGTTTTTCAACATCTATATGTAACTCAGGCGTACCTAATGCACTGCTGAGCAGCTATTTGCTGATCTGCTGATTCCTATTAACACAAAGCACTCTAATTCACAGTACTCAAACAACGCATTTACATCACTTAAAACTTGCTTGAGTTCTTAAATCAAAATTATATTGGTCTGTTAATACTGCTGTGCATAGGGTTAAAGAAGTACAAAATGCAAGTCACTCTGCACACAGCAAATATTGATTCATCTTTCTTAAAAAGTGAATGTCTTACAAAGAGAGTGCTTATGAACTTGTCATGTATTCTCTGTTTTACAAAAGAAATCAGTTTCAAATTTTCTTTCTTTTATGGTTGTTTTATGTTAATTCTTAAGCAAATGCTAGGGAGTGAAAACCAATCATCTTGTATTTGTTCATCGTTCCCAAATGGCTTACAATTTTAAGACCATAAATTGGTCACAGGGAGCTTATTTTTTTCCATTCACTCCTTGTCATACATGTCTACTTATCTAAATCACCCAGTCTTTAATTCTTAGTGCAGTAAAGGTTAGAAAAACCAACTGATGACAGAGGTGGTCACAAATCTTGTATTCATACATACTGCAATTTCTTTCTCCAATGCGTTTTGAAGTCGGTCCTCAGTACTTTTGAGTTCTTTTATTATACTGCCAACTTTAAGAGGATACTGCAACCAATGTGACTACGTAGGAATTTGCTGAAACAAAGAGATGAGATATCCAGATAAGTTATATTTCTATAGCCTACTTGCAGAACATGCTGTAAGAAAACTTAGGGGCTGATGAAGGAAAATCATACCTATATATAATATACACAAGCATACATATTTAGCTTTCACTGGACTTTTTTCCATAAAATGTCAAAATATTTCCTACTGCCATCTGTTTCATTCTATGAAGCTCTTTGCATAAAATATTCTTCTTTTCCTCTTTTTAGTAGAAGCTGATCACTTATTTACCAATAGAGAGGGCTGCAAGTACTCATACTGAATCTATGCATAGAATAGTAGCAAAAACAAAGCATGAAAAGAAAGAAGAAGTGACCACCATCTGTTATGATGTGTTGTCACTGCTGCTTTATGGCAAATGCTGGGATACGTGCAAAATGGCAACTAACTGTAAATGCAGGCATCTGTCTTGTTCCTTTTTTCAAAGCAGGTGTGCCAGGGGAATCAGCAGTGAGGGGCTAGGCTTCCAGAAAAGGCACTCAGAGAAAATTCTATGTCTAACACTTGTTTGTTTTTTTTTTCTTGCCATTTTTTTCTGAGCCTTTTCCTAGTAGTCTTCATCTATCTTGGAGAGTGTTGTCAGGGACATAGTACCTTACACATCCTTTCTGAGGCTGGATGGAAAAGAAGATTCCCATGCCATGTAGAAAGCTGCTATGTGAAGTTGCCTGTATGAATTGCCACAGTTCTGCCTTTTGCTGTTTAATGTATTTTTGTTTAAGTGAAACATCCAGCTCGTTCTAAAATTAAAAAAAAATCTGGTTTGGTTATCGTTGCTGAAGTTCAAAGGTGCTACTCTTTGGCTTCACTGAAACTGCACATTATTTCAGTGCATTAAGATCATTTTGAATTCTAGCCCCCATCTGCCAGCATGCTATTATACCTTCCAGGTAATTCTCATTTGTCAGTTGGAGAAGTGTACAGTCTATTCCATCATCCAGGCCATTAATGATAATACTGAATAGCATCAGATTAGCAAATTGCTACTGGAGTTTGTCCTGAAGCAGCCCTTTGCTCTTGCTAGGCAGCTCAGCTGCAAACAGCAGCACGAGCTGAGCCATGTGGACGCATGGAAATGGCAATAGCTTCAGGTTCTGACTTCACTGCACCTGACTAGTAGCCAAATTTCATGTGTTAGGAGGGAAAAGTAACAGCTTCCCTGTACTGAAGGATAGAACCTTGGAGCGAGTGGCTGTGAGGTGTTAAAAGAGGATAAATTAGACTTGGGAAAGCTCCACAGCAATCAACGTGTTCTTACACATATGCACAACTCATTTTTCGTAAGTGTACAGTTTTGGGTAATACTGACATGTTTCAGGGATGAAAGGAGGAAGATTTGGAAGTAGCAGTGGGAGCACACCTTCACCATAATATGGAAATCAATGATCAGTCAGAATGTGAGGAAAACAAATTGTTCCTGTGGAGCAATTCCAAGAACAGGCACTTGAGGCAACATCTGAGTACAACCAGCAGACAACAGTCAAAAGCAAAATCATCATGAGTGCTGCATGCAAAGAAAATCCAGGTGTAGGAAGAGCAGTGGTAATCTGAGCAGAGTCTGCTTTTGATCACAGGAGCGTTGATGTCAATGCTTCTGACCGGAGTAGGGTCAGAAACTATGTGATGTGGAAGAAATCCTGCTGCATTGTGCAGAGCCACACAAAATAGACAGCAGGGGACGGGGGGGTTGTGCTGGGATGCACAAGATGTAATCGGGAGTTAAGAGTGTGGTGAGAAGTGACAACGTGGTTCTCTGTGTTTAAGAAGTAGAACAAATACAATGTTAAAAAAAAAAAAATCTTTGCAGCACTATCTCTTTGCTTTGTTTGTACTTTGCAAGACCTTGAGCTCTGTTCCTCCCCCAAATGCAAATGCCTGATTGGATTAATAATATTGCATCAACTTCAGGCCAGTTTGTTCGAGCCTCAAGTCACTAGATTTTCTTTTTTCTTGATACAAGCTGTTAATTTCAAATGTTTTTTATACATCAGTGCCAGTTTTGGAAATTGCAAAATACTTATTTGAGAGGAGGATATTTTTTGGTGCTGTATCAATTATCTCCTTTTAAACTTCCCTTTTTGTGCCTTTATTCAAGTCTCTGTTGTAATGTTTTTATTATTGTTTTGACTAGGGAAGTTATTTTCGTTCAGTTCTTATATAGCAAGTAGCACACTAAGGTTCTTTCTGGCTTAGTCTACTAGGTGCTTCAGCTGTGCAATGGGCATTGAGAAGAAAATCAATCAGGAATACACAAAAACAGTGTTGTGAATTGAGCTTATGGTCAATAAATAAAATGAACCATCAGATGCAGTTCAACCAGTGTGACTACCAACTTATTTATAAAGCAACAGCAAAACAATAGAAAATTCACATTTTGTAAAGCCTTTCTGGAAATCATTTCAGTTCCATACAGTATTTACTGTATAGGTGTAAGGTTAAAGTGGTGTTAAAACTCTTGGAACTCTTTCCAGTGAACAGGACAACAGTGTTCCAGAAAAAAATCAAGAAATTCAGTTGCACCTTCTCAGCCAAAACCTACCAGTAGTTGCCATACTGCTTGCTTCTGCATTTCACTATTATATTAATGAGTTTGTCATCTGAGAGGTCAGTTCTTTCACCAATGAAACTAGCAATGTGTACATCTGTACATTGATGTTTTACCTTTTAAATGCCCAATTTCAAAACAGACACAGCTTAATTTGAGCAATTGCAGAAAAGAGGGACTGGGAGTTTCTTGCGAGCTCATAAGCTATGGCTTGGTAGTGAATGGTATTTAAGAATACTCAGTTAGTTGGCAGGAGGTTTGTAATTAGCACAGGGAATTGCTCCTTCACACGGTGTGCACTGCAGTTATTCCAACTGCAGCGGGCTGTGGACTCACAGTGTCAGGGTTATTATATGCAGGGACATGGGTATCACAGGAAGTCCTACACTATCAGTACTGGAAAATTAGATGGGGAAACTACCTCACTGTAAGCTTGCTTTTTGTTTGTTTGTTTGATTGATTCTTCTAATAGGCTCCTCCCAAGACACCTGCTTTCTAGTAGAAACTTTTATGCTTACCCAACCCACTGCAGGTATTATTACATAGATAAAAACAATTTGTGCTGAATAACTCCCAGTGTTCCTGGGATAAGCGCTGGGAAGTGTTGTGTGGGGTATCTTGAGATTTGTATTAGGTGAACAAGCCACTTCTAAATACAGAGAAGACTTTTGTTGGATTTCTGACGTTACACAGTCATTCTTACTTCTCTCTCCTCATCAGTTCACATCGGAACAAGTGGACTCTTTACTACAGCTGTACCTGCAAAATACAGGACACTTCTGGCTTACACCAAAGTTCCCATTGGCCTAGCTAGAGGGAGGCTCCTTTTCTGCTCTTACAATTCACTTCTTTCAGTGTAAGTAAGTTCAGTTTGTCTCCCCTCTGCGACTCCATTGCAGCTGTGATGAACGAAGCTAGTCAACATCCACAGCTGGGGAAGGGAAAAAAAAAAAAGGGGGATGAGGGTGGATTAAGAAAGGGGTTTAATAGTTGTCATGCTTGGTCATGAAGATCATGACAGCTTAAAGGCCACAAAGTGCAATTCCTGGAACATGTGCCTTTTTCTTTTTTCTTTTTTTTTTCCCCACTGTGTTTAACTGTTTGTCTTGTATTCAGCCCAATCAAAAAACAGAACTTTCTCTGCACTGAAGGTTAGAGTCCTTTGGTACATTTCAGAATGAACAGAAGTCTTTGTCTGACTTTCATGCTGTAAAAATAAATAAGCAAGGAAACAGAAAAAAAAAAAAAGAGAAAATCTCAAGGACATGCACACATGACTGGCTTTCACAGACTTGCTCAGTCATCCACAGCATGAACAGCAAGCTGTGTGTGTAATTACATCTGCTTCTACCTAGTTCTGCATGTTCAGCATGAAAAAGGGTAATTATGGTGCATTTTGAGAAGGTAATACCATTTAGTTAAAATCAAGGTTAGGTTTTGCTTTTAGATATATACAAAGGAGCTTTTTGATCAAGATTCCTTAATGACTGATTATGCTAGTATAAAGAGATGGCAAAGGAGCAGTAGAATCTCAGTGGGGAAAGGTGACTAAACCACTCAAAGAAGGGTTAGATCCCACATTTGAGTAGCATGGCAGAAGCATGAGTAGGCATTTATTTCTCCATCATTTATAGAAGTGTCTACAGCTAAGACAGACATAAAGGCTCTGAGTTGAGCCAGACCTTGTGGATCTTTCAGTCTGTGCTATTGTCCAGACTGCCAACAGACAATTTCATAATCAGGTTGTACAAGTTAGCTTTGCTTTTATTTGCTCTATTTATCAGTACCAAGTTCATTATGTACCTTGATGGCTTACTGAAATCACATTCATGTAGCCAGCGAGGTGAATGAGTGATGGAATCAATCAGTTTTGAGGTCTGTAAGCAGAGAATTTGAATGTGTTGGAATTATTGTGATTAATTTCCTAAATTCTTGCAATTTGGCTGATTTATTTGGTTGACTGCAGCTTGTTTGTTGCTGAATCAAAACAGAAATTTCTGTATCTCTTGATTCAGACAGTATTCCCAGCTAGATTTTGGGAGTTTAGTAACCCTGAACCAACCAAGGGTAGTATTACTTCCCGAACTTGCAGTTAATGTTTTGTTAAGCACAGAGCTTAAAAGGGCTCTTAGACTTCAAAGTCTTTCCTATAGGCAGGCAGTATAACTGTTGCAAGCCAGAGAACGTTCCTCTGAAAACGCATTATTCTTTGGGCCCCATGAGAGATACTGAATTGCACAAAGAAGCACATTAGCTTCTCTGATGTGGATAAGAGTTCATATTTTTCAGCTGTTCTTGTTCCTTTACTGTATTCACACTCCTTTGCGACATTAGGAAAGCTAAAAAGAAGTTTGATTTCACAGTGGAGGTTCAGGATGTCAACTGGAAATGACAAACCAAGCCTTGGTTGCCCTTTTTGATTTTGAGATCTGTAGATGGGGCAGGTTATGTTATTGTCACAGTGTGATGGGGTTGGAAGGTCTTGGGTTGGAAGAGACTCACAAGGGTCATGGAGTCCAACTTCTGCCTCCAAAAGCCCCAAATCCAAACCCTGTGCCTGAGTGTTGTCCAAATGCTTCTTGAACTCCAGCAGCTCAGGGCCATGCCCATTGCCCTGTGGTGCAGACCTATTCCTCACCCCCACCTGCCCCAACCCTGACAGCTCCACACCATTCCCTCAGCCCTGTTGCTGTCACACGGAGCAGAGCTCAGCACTGCTCCTGTGGGGAGCTGTAGCCACCATCAGGCCTCTCCTCAGCTCCTCTGCTCTGGGCTGAACCAATTGAGGGGCTGCAGCCGCTCCTCATGTACCTCTAGACCCTTCCCCATCCTCATGGCCCTCCTTTAGATGTTCTCTAATAGCCTCATGTTGTTCTTACATCGTGGTGCTCAAACCTGCACTCAGGTCTTGAGGCTGCACCAGGGCAGATCACAGCGGGGCAATTGCCTCTTAATGAAGCAGTTTCAGTAGAAGCAGCGTGTTTTTCGAGCACAGAATTTCTGATGTATATACTACAGTCTTCACCTTTATTTCGGCTTGCCGGCATCCAGAGCAGATGTACAGAAATGAGTGATGAGGATTATTTTGCCCCATCAGCTTTTATCTTGTGATGGAAGAACACCTTTACCTTGCTTACGAGTTGCCTCAGTGGAGTCCTACCTGTGGCTCAGCTGTGTGAGAACTCAGTTTTAAGCTAATATTTGTTTAGCGTGACATCCAGCATCTGAGTTAGCAGGATATATATCCCATGACCCACATATTTTTTTGTTGTCCATCTACTCTTAAATGACTGGAACAGTTGAATCCAGCACACGGATACCACTGCACGATGCATGAGAGTAAATGGCCTGGGTTCACAGGGTCCCTGTAACCTTGTTTACAGAAAAACTGAGCTTTAACTTCTTTCAGAACAGGCTGGCAGGTACAAAAGAAGCGCACACTGGTAACACGTTACTTCATAGTCTGTTAGGCTGATGATTAGACAGAATTGAGTAACATTTGTCAACAAATGAGAGTGAAACTTCTGCAGGAAGAAATAAAATCAAGAAATTGTAATGAATTAAACCTCTGGAATAGTATCATGCACATATTTTTCTTTTACTTGTTTTACTGAATGTGTGCCCACTTTGAAAATAAGTGCATTGCTTGAAAGCCTTTACAAACAGTACAGTTTTCCATGGAAGTATCAGTTTTCTTTCTTTTCCTTCCTCTCCCTCTCCTTTTTCATGTTTCATTTTTTTAAAAGTTTGAAGCATACCAATGCTTTGATATGAGGGGTTGCATGTTAAAAATCTACCTAAGCAATCTCTGAATTAAATATTAAATATTATCTTTATTCACATGCAGACTTCTCATTGACTTACCCCTTACACCAGCCAGGGTCTCCATCAGGGAAAGCCGCACAGCAAAGTGAGCAGAAATTGTCATGTGGGAAAAAGCGAGTATCCCAGCCACTCTTTTTTTTGAAACAAAACATTAGAGAGCCAAAACCACATGAACTTATTGACCTTTGTGCCATGACAATTCTGTAATTATTGAATAGCAGGGATGAGCTGAGAGCTAAGAGGATTTGGGGGGGGTTGGTATACAGAGGGAGATAAGGTTACATATAAGGCAGCTGCAGCACATTTGGGTTAACTGAGTTGGCTTTTTTTTCCCCAGAGCACAGCTAAGTGAGTTTGGACCCTGGAACCATGAGTGGGTGCCCCTTCACAGGGAACAAATACTTGTGAGTTACTATTGTCTTTATTTTGTGTTAAAAGATATAAAGTTAATGTAAATTTTGGAGAGGAATTAATGATTATCTGTAAATAGACTGCTATAGCTATCCCTAAGGGAAGGGAGAGTGAACCTTCAGGGAAGGGCTGTGTGATGAACTAGATTTAGTGCTACCAGCTACTACTGCTGTGACAAGGTGTGTGTCAGGTGCATTCTTTTTCATAAGATTGCTTTAGTAGTTCATTTTTTTCATCATTTGAATTTTAGTGAATTTTAATGAAATGACAGATATAGCAATAATTCTTTAATTAAATAGCTTACATATTTTTTTGCTTTTCTTCTCAGATATAAATTTGGCAACCTATCTTTGAAAGATGAGAAAGGTGACGAATCGCAGGAGGGAATAAATAAAGCCAGCAAAGGTGGGCTTATCTATGGAGATTACCTGCAAGTAAGTGTAATGATGTGAGTTTTACTGTTCTGGATGCTTGGAAGACTTGAGTAAGGACACAAGATTGGCACTTCTTCCGTCATGCACTGGCAGTAGTTAGTTGTACTGGCAAACCTAAACCATGAAGCGATGCAGCACAATACTTTATTTGATCTGATAGTTGGCAGTTTTTCTGCAAATCAGGCGGCCATGTGCAACTTTCCCCAAATTATTGCATGAAACTCCTTAATATTTGGTTGGAAAATTACATTCCAGTAATGTAGAGTATGAAAAGAAAACAAACAAAAAACAACAACCACCCAAAACACAGCTAGAAGCAATCAAGAAATATGTAAAAATAAAATGTTAGAAGTGATAAGACAACTTAGACATTTGCTTTTATTTTCATGACAGCAAGAACTGAAATGAGTGGAATTACTCCGTGCTTGTGAACAAGCAATTAATTTGTTGACATATAATACAGAATCTTGCAAAGATTTCTTTTAAAGCAGCTGTGAGATAATGAATTTGACTCAATCAAAAATTACTGATGCCAGAACTGAAATAACTAGTTCAGCCTCAAATCACAGCTCTTGCATAGTTAGATATTATACTGTTACAGAATTTTCTATCAGAAGTCTCTTGCACTGAATATGTCAGTATTGATATCAGATCTGGAGAATGCACTGTGTATTTTGTGTTCTCCTTTTTTTATGTATGTATTCAAAAATCTTAAAATGATTTTCCAAACTTTTTCACTTGATGAACCTGAATGTTAATTTCAGATGATTTTCTTTTTTTTAATTACAAAGAAACTATTTATTTTAGCTTCTCATACAAACTGGATTATTATTATTATTATTATTATTTTTGCCTTAAATGTAAGCCCTACACAGTAGGAACACCGTGTCTAATAGCAGAATTGATAACTTTACAAATAGTCTTTTATTATTGTTATTTTTAAGTTGAACAAAATACTGAATGCCCAAGAGCTACAGAGCGAAAAGAAAGGAAACAAAATCCACGATGAGCATCTTTTTATTGTGACGCATCAAGGTAAGCAGGCGAGAGGATTAGAGCAATGGTGGTTTGGCATTCTTGCTGCAGGAAGTTACTTAACATTGACAAGTGCTATGTGTAATTTGTTTTCATTTTTCACCTGGTTGCTGCAATTACTCTGTCTTTTTATGTGTGTTTATATTTGTATGTAACCCTGGATGTTTTTTTAGGCTCTATGTAATAAACTCTATGCTTACGAAGTCATAACTGTAAAATTCAGATTTGGAAATCAAGAGTTTGGAGACTCTCTTTCTAGAGAAATTCAGGTGGAGAAAATATTCCTAGCTTGAGTAACAGGGTGCTAAGCAGTTTATTGTAGGCAAGCTTTATATATTTTGGTTTGTGGCTTCTCTGAAACTTCAATCCTGCTTTACCCATTGAGAGGCATTAGAAGTCAACACAATGGGTAGATGTTCCCTACCTGCTCATATCCACATGGTTTGCAGGCACTGATTGAATGACACTTTCCTGTTGTTGATACAAAACCTGTAGATGTCATTGAAGTTGTAAACAGCTCTGGGGTTATAATGGGATGCCACTGTCCTGTTGCTAAAGTTGTACCTGAGTTTTTCACTTTCCCCTCTTGTAATCAACGTTCTGTACATCTATTATCTGATGTGGAAAGTATGCTTCGTAAAGTTCTGTTTATGCTCTTGATACTAGATTACTTCACAGAATAGTTTTGGTAATGGACAACACACTAGAAAAGGCAATACTTCTTCATATCAGCACTTTTTTATACCCCAACGTTGTAAACGTAGTTTATTCACTTCAAATCAGAAAGTAAGAATTTTTCCTCATCTTTGTGGAGAAAAAAAGAAAAAAAAAAAATGCTGAAGTTATTGCTAACAATGGCTTTATTGTTTTAGCTTATGAACTTTGGTTTAAGCAGATTCTGTGGGAGTTGGACTCTGTTCGAGTGATCTTCCAGAACGGACATGTAAGTCGAGTAAATATTCATTCTGGTAAAATTAGGACTCCTCTTTCTTTGCCTCCCAGCTTGATGTATGTGAGTTACATATGGTTGGTGCTTTTTTTTTTTTTTTTTTTTTTTTTTACAGAAACCAAAAGAAAAAAAACATTGGCTGTATTGCTCTTCTATCCTCATAGTGTGCGCTTATACAGAATCCATTTTCCTCACCTTTTGCATAGATGCCTCTCCAGGACCAGTTTCACTGGCCAAAATACTCTCATACTTTCCTAACAGTACTGGGAAATTGCAGAAGATAATTTGGGTTTATTTTACTGCTGATAAGTCACGCTTGGAGGCAAAACTGAAGATGGGCTAACAGGTCTATTTACGCTGACTTGTCAGTGTCTACCTTTGTTTGAATTTTTGAACTCCAGTATCTGCTACATGAAAGCAAAACTATTTGCAGTAGCAGTGTATTGTGAAATCCAACAGAAGAGCAATAATCAAAATCATTATGTATAATTACATGAGAATTTTGTAAAATGACAAATATAACAGAAGCATTTTAAACAACTCTAAACATTTATCCAACACTAAATGTCATATACACATATGTCATAACTATTGATAACAAGACAACCCTCCAGACCTAAAATGCTCACAGAAAAATGCTGACTGCATGTAATACCTTGAATAACAACCTGAGTTTGTGTATGTGAAGAAAAACTTGAAGTAGACCAGACTTTATTTCAGAAAGGAGGAGTCTTTTTTCCTTATAATGATCGATGAAAATGTTCTTTGTTGTCCTCTGCAGTCATAATATTCTTGGCTTTCTTAAAATGTATCAAAATGTATTTGACCGTAATCAATTCTTAATAGAATAATTTTTATTTATTTATTTTTGTGATAAATGAAAGCTATCTTACAATCAAAACTTGAAATGTCAATGTTAAGGTTAATAGCAAAGCAAGACTATTAAGGAAAAAATTTTCATATTTCATTTTTATAGCTTGATATTTTCTGGTTGTTTGCCCTGGTCTCGGAGATAAAAATAGGATTGAGTTAATAGGAATCAGTGAGACAAAAATGGATTTAAAAAATTGAGTATTATACTTTCAGTTAAAATCAGAGTCTATTCAATATGAGATTGTTTTGTTGTTAGGGGCTTCATGTGGAAAATGACTTGAAAGCTATCATGTTGCATAACAGTGAAAAGATGTGAAATAAATAGAAAAGAGAACACTGCTTTCTGTCGGGTCATTATATTTATTTCTTATTAAGGTAAGAGATGAGAGGAATATGCTGAAAGTTATTACTCGAATGAACAGAATTTCAATGATTCTGAAATTACTTGTGGAACAGTTCTCAGTTTTGGAAACCATGACTGCACTGGACTTTTTTGATTTCAGGTAAATATTTACTATTTCTCCATAGTAATGCATGGGGTAGTAACTCTTATCCTTTGAGCTGGTTGTGAATTTAAGCAAGGACTTGCATGTACCCTGGCAAGTTGTAGTACCTGATTTGCTCAACAGGGTGAGAACAAAATCATAGAATACTTTGTTAGAAAGGGACCATTAGGATCACCCAGTTCCAGCCCCTCTGCTATAGGCAGGGATACCTCCCACTAGAACAGGTTGCTCACAGCCTCATCCAACCTGGCCTTGAATGCTGCCAGGGAGAGGGCATCCACAAGCTCTCTGTGCAACCTGTTCCAGTGCCTCACCACCTTCACAGTAAATAATTCCTTTCTAACATCTAGTCTGAATCTACCCTCTTTCAGTCTAAAAACCATTCCCCCATGTCCAGTCACTACATGTCCTTAAAGATTCTTTCCCAGCTTCCCTTTAGGCCCCCTTCAGGTACTGGAAGGCTGCTCTAAGGTCTCCTCAGAGTCTTTTCTTATCCAGGCTGAAAAGCCAACTCTCTCAGCCTGTCCCTGTAAGGGAGGTGCTCCAGCCCTCTGGTCATCTTCATGGCCCTCTTCTGGACCTATTCCAACATCTTGATGTCCTTCTTGTGTTGGGGGCCACAGAACTGGGAGCAGTACTCCAGGAGGAGTGTCAGAAGAGCAGAGTAGAGGGGCAAAATCACTTCGCTCTACCTGCTGGTCACACTTCTCTTGATGGAAGCCAGGATACAATTGGCCTTCTGGGCTTCAAGTGTGCATTGCTGGCTCGTGCTGAGTCTTTCATCAACTGGCACCCCAAATTCTTCTCATGTCATTCTCATTCCAGCCTGTATTTGTGCTTGGGATTGCCCTGAGCCAGGTGCATAACCTCGCACTTGACCTTGTTGAACTTCAAAAGGTTGGCATGGGCCCACCTCTCGAGCCTTTCCAGATCCTTCTGGTTGATATGCCTTCCCACTAGCATGTGAACTGCACTTCTCAGCTTGGTGTCATTTGTAAACTTGCTGACGGTCAATGCCACTGTCCATGTCACCTACAAGGATGTTAAACAACACTGGTCTCAACACCCGTCCCTGAGAAACATCACTCATCACTGATCTCCACTTGGACATTGAGCCATTGGCTGCAAGTCTCTGAGCGTGACCATCTAGACAGTGGATTCCTTATCCAGTGAGTGGTCTATCCATCAAATTGATTTTTCTCCAATTTGGTGACAAGGATGATGTGCGAGACACTGTCAAATGCTTTGCACGAGTCCTGGTAGATGACATAAATTGTTCTTCCTCTATGTGCTCATGCTGTGACTCCATCATAGAAAGCCACTAAGTTTGTCACTTGCCCTTGGTGAAGTCATGCTGGTTACCATCAATGACCTCATCTTTATTTTTCTTGTGCCTTAGTAGGGCCTACAGGATCTGCTCTGTGATCTTGCCAGGTGCAGTGGTAGATTGACTAGCCTGTAGTTCCCTGGATCTTTTTTTTTTTTTTTTTTAACAATCATTGGGAACTTCACCATACTGCCATGACCTTTCAAATGGCTTGACCTTTCAAATTGGCTTGGCAACTTCATCTGCCAGCTCCCTGAGAGCCCATGGATGGATCTGATCAGGTCCCCTGGACTTGTGCACCTTCAGGTTCTTTAGATGATCTTGAACCTAATCTTCACTGAGAGAGGGTGGATCTTCCTTCTCCCAGTTATTACCTTTGCTTTCTTCAACTTGTGCAGCGTGAGTAGAGCCCTTGCTGGTGAAGACTGAGTCAAAGAAGTCACTAAGGACCTCAGCTTTCTCTGTATCTCTTGTGACTAGCTCTCCAATTAACGTGTGTCAGAGGTAAACATAGCATTACTGAGCAAAGTCAACTGAGCTTGATTGCAAGACCAGCATACCTTGCAGTGAAATACAAGTTAGCTTCTGATGCTTGCATGTGCTGTGTTAAATGTTTTCAGACTTGATAATAATAATAATAATAATAATAATAAAATTCAAATTCCAGCAGGAAGAGTAGAAATGCTTCCTGGTTCTGTTAACAATTTACTCAAAACTTACCACTGCAGTTACAGCCATATTCTGTGACAAATCATGAAAGTGGTAAGAGAAGTGCACTCTCTATATATTGTCAAATACATCATTATACTGTCTTGGGCAGACAGTATTTCCTAGCTTCCCAGTGTTGCTTCAAGAGTCTGAAGTAATGCTGCTTTCTTCTTATTCCTCTCCAAGAACTTCTGCTCTCAGCTGCCCAACACATTGCTGGGTCAACTTGTTTGTAGTTGATCTGCCTTCTGCACGGACCATCTTTGGGATCAGTTGGTTTTCCTCACTTCTGACTTGGCATTTCTTACCTCTTATCTCACAACCAGCTCCTTCCACTACCATTTGACAGCTTCATATGCAATTCACCATCTGTCTTCCTACTCCATTTTGTGTCCCTGACCTGCCTGACTCGTGCACTTAGTGCTTTCCAGCATCCCTCCCCCTTCTGCATTGCTTTAGTACCATTTCCCCTGTCTTTTAGCGCTCTCTAACCGAAAAGCACATGAAAATACAACTTGGCTTCCACTGGAAGTTTGGAACATCTGTGTCTTCTACAGCAGGAGAAATACATGAGCTGCTAATCTTCTGAGGAGTCATTGCTTCTGATTTTTCAACAACATACAGTAATATGTAATATGAAGCAAGAAAATACAAAAACAGATATATTACCTGTTTTTTCTAACTTCTCTATTTGCAGTTTGGAGTGTGTTACAATTACCTAGCAATGTGGGATTCCGGATCAATTTCATTAATCAGTTCATATAATGTGTTCACACAATTCAGCCCAGAAAGAATCCTGTTAATAAATCCTTCAGAATAATGTTTTGAAAAAGATTTAGTAAGTTTGATTTATTTCATACATATCAATTGTTCATAGGTATGACAGGCCTATTTAAAAGGCATTTAATGGCACTTTAGAGATATTGAAATTTTTCTGATGTTTATTTGGGGTAAAAGCTACTTCTGCTGTCCAGAAAGAAAATGATATTCACTAATTTTTTTGTGAAACACATTCACAGAGCTGCCATTTTAAAACACAATATAAATGTGTGTATATGTATGTTTGTATATGCACCGATGTATCAACTTTCCTTTTTTTTTTAGCCCCCTAATTGCAGGCATACCAAAATTTTCAATTATCTATTTGATGTTCTTCAAATACGAGATACATAGTTATTTCTTCAGCTGAGAACCAAAGAACTCCATGGTGGTAAAATAATATCCTGTATTTTTGTATGTTTTTCTCTTCTGTTCCCAAAGAGACTACTTAAGCCCAGCCTCAGGTTTTCAGAGCCTGCAATTTCGTTTGCTAGAGAACAAGATCGGTGTTCCCCAAAGCCTGAGGGTCCCCTACAACAGAAGGCATTATCGTGATAACTTCAAGGGAGAGGATTATGAACTACTGCTGAAATCAGAGCAAGAACCAACGCTTCTGCAACTTGTGGAGGTAATAATATTTGGCTGAGACCTTGCTTAAATGTTTTACCCTTTCCCTTGAGAATGTCCTTCGCTGTTATAAGTGGTAATCTTTTTTCCTTGAGAGAAGCAAGAATGCTGACAGGTTTCAAGTAAATCACATTTTGAATTCTTATCAAAATTGGTATGAAAGAGTTGGGCATTATGAAACCAACTGATTATTTTTTTCCCAGCTGTTACTCTTGTCTGAAAAACATAACTTAGCATAGTAAATAGTAAATGACATTGCAGAAATCCGAGTTGTCTAAAAATATTAATGTATCGGGTCATTTGCATTGTTTTTCATAACTACAAACCTTTATAGAAGAAAAATTTTTAAATATTCCAATGTTGGTGAGGAGTATTAGGCTATAAAAAAAACAGAAAACAAAAAATGCCAACCCAAAATGAAAATGAAAGAAGGTCAACAAGTGTTTCTTTCCAACTTACCTTGATTTAATGTCCTTGACTGAAAATTGCATTGCTCAAACATGGCTGTTTCTTTAACTCCATTGTCCTTTTCACATGCAAACTTAACTACTAAAGAACAATGTAATATAAACCTCAATAAACACAACTACGTCTCTACGAAAAAATTATTCTCCATGCTTTCATTCGATGACACCCGCTGCAGAATGGGTAAGAAATCTTTGTAAATTTCCTTCTCTTCCTGGTTGTCTTTGGATAAGAAGGAGCTGAATAAAATTGTCTTTAAAAGGAGTGCGACCATGCAGGTTTTGACTTTTTCTCCTTATTTTCATTACCATTGTTAAAAGGAAATCAAAGAGGCTGCTAACTGCTATGTGCATTTTCATCTTTCATCTACATCACACATTCTGATATAAGCTAATGTCAGATGGTGTGAACAGTATTCATGCTGATCAGATAAAAAACGGCTATTCTAGCAGATGGTTCTATATTTTCTGACATTTATCTTAGTTTATTCTGTATATGTGGAAGAACATTGTTTCATTAGTCTACAAGGGAATGAGTTTTAATGAGAGAGCATTTATCTTCTAACTGATAATTTAACTTGTAACCTATGTGTGTGTTTGCATGGCATCATTATACAGGCACAAATCTTCCATGTGGACATCCTTACTCCAGTTAATTTGCACCTGCATGAGTAATAAACCAGAACTATAGCAATGTAATTTATATTGCTATAAATTGTAATTCTAGAGTATCGTGTTTTCATTATGAATAGTTGAACACATTATTATTGTTAAAGGCATGGCTGGAAAGAACTCCAGGACTTGAGGCAGAAGGATTTGATTTCTGGGGCCAATTTGAAGTGAATATTTTAAAAGGACTGGAAGAGGAATTTGCCATAGTACAGGTATGTTCTGTTGATCCAACTATATGCAGAGACAGCTAGAAATCACGTTCTTTTAATTGGCATTTTGGCCCACTCCTGGTTTCTCACTTCATTTAATCTTCGGCAGCCAGTGTTTGCAAGAAGCATAAAAATCACAAACGCTACCAGGAAATCTCAGTAAGTCTATAATTTGACATCTAGGAACACCTCAAGCATGTGCTATGTGGATTATTTTTTCACAAAAGAAAAGGGAAAGTATCACAGGAAGAAAATTAATCTTACTGAAACTGTCACCTTGAATGCTTGCATCTGAAGTTCAGAGTAAAACTCCACAAAGTTTGGGCCTACAAGTAAGGAGTGTCACTGTATACTGACCTTTACTACTTCACAGTACACAGCACTTAGCTGCTATGTGACCATCTGAATCACACTGGCAAAGAAGCAAGAAAAATATCCCCAAGTGCTGTAAAGCTTGTAGGTATAACAAGTACATTTTTAAACGGAAGAAACAGTATAACAGAAGAATATACTAAGTTCCTGAGAATATTCTTACAGCTTTCTGATTTATCCAGCTTTTCTAGCTAAGTTTTCTAACCCATAGCTGTGCAAAATGTCCTGTTTCTGCCTTGAAAACTAAGAAATAAAATAATTAGACTCCAAATGAATTAAGATTAGCTTAGTTCTGAAGCTTCTAAGAAAAGCGAAGATGTAAAGAAAAGTGATGTTAGTTTGTTTGAACATCTATTCATATGAATTGCGTTGTATTTAATTGCACAATTTCTGGTAATTCTTTTTTTTTCTTCTTTCTTTTTTTTAAAGAACAGTGACGCAGTGACTTGCCCACCTTATTTGACAATACAGTTCTTACACTTAAGTGTAAACTTACAGAGTGTTTAGATGAAAATAGAGGTTAAATCATGGGTCATTCAAAAGCCTGATTTTTCCCTACTGAATTCTAAAAAAAAAACAAAACAAAACCAACCTTCTTTTTGATTTAAATATCAAAGGCCAAACCAGAATCAGAAGAAAAAGAGGACTTGTTATCCGAATTTCAAAAGCAGAAGGATATATTACTTTCATTATTTGATGAAAAACGGCATGAACACCTGCTTAGTAAAGGTAGAGTATATTAATATACACATTCGAATTTTTAAATATGATAAATACAGAATAATCACAATAGCACTACATTTTCAGGATAACCATCAACAAACTAAAGATATCTGTATTTTGCAGGAGAAAGAAGACTGTCTTATAAAGCTCTGAAGGGTGCCCTAATGATCTACTTCTACAGGTAATGTTATAAGACGTATCAAAGTACTTTCAGTGCTTGTTGGCAGCTGGAAAGGTGGAAGCAAACTGTTATCCAAAGCGTCCTAGAAAGTTTTAAAGCATTTTCCAACCAAGAATTGAAAAAGACAGATTAAAACTTAATTGGCTAAAGTGCTTGTTAGAATATCTACTGGTATTTCGATACCAGCTTGGGAAAAAACACATGTTGAGTGTCTTTTGTTGCTGAAGTGATAGTTAGAAATATATAGCTCATCATGAGAGGTCTTACTGTTCTCTCTTTCATTTTCCAAGAGAGGAGCCCCGCTTTCAGGTTCCATTTCAGCTTCTCACCTCTCTTATGGATATTGACGTACTCATGACAAAATGGAGATGTAAGTTGCACTCTTTCATTGAGATACTCTTTTTGATTCAAGAAAACTGTTCTATTTCACGTTCTGAGACTCATACCTAGAGTTTTAGCATTGAGCTTCTGAGTTTGTCCTTTAAAAATAACTTTTTTTTTTTTTTGTACTTTGGCCAAGAGGAAAGGTGAGCAGCTTCCTCTGTGATCAGTAGATATATAGGTAAAGCTATCACTTTCATGACATGTTTTAAGCTAAGCGAAAGATTTTTAGGGATAGCAATATGTTTTCCCAAAACCTCATCGTGATGACTGTTCACATGGAAATATTCCTTCTGCTCTTTCCCTATCTACCTACCTACCTTTCCCTATCTACCTACCTTTAGATAACTACAAATTGATGCGTTAATTCCGTATTAACAATCATTTTATGTTAGCTGACTTGAGTGGCATACTTAACTCCTACCTTGCTGAAGATCTAGTAGCTCATCTCTCTGTATCCTCTGATAATGCAGTATTCACCTTGATGTGACCCTTTGTTTATTTTTTAATGCTGGCTATGTGCCATGCCCTTTGTATGTACTGTTTAGATAACCATGTCTGCATGGTGCACAGAATGATTGGCAGTAAGGCTGGCACAGGAGGATCATCAGGCTACCAGTACTTGCGCTCAACAGTGAGGTAAGAATAATGCCTTTTACCTACCTTGATGCTGTTCATGGATGTTGTACTGCTGGGAGATAGATTTCAGACAGCTCACTAAAAGTTAGAGCCATCATTCCTCTTTTGGGACTGTACTGAGCATTTCCCATCCAAGTTGTACATTTACTTATCAGGTTGATACATGTGAATTCTAAGTCTTTTGTGGCAAAGGGCTTTGATCACTCATGCAAAGTGCATTTACAATTCTCAGTCAAGGGATTAGACATTACTGTGATAGGAAATAATGCAGCATTAATATTGTTTACCTTGTGTGCTTTCCAGCCCAAGTTAATACGCGATGCAGGACGAAAGTTAGTCCCAGATGCTGTGCAACTGAGTTTCTTTATTTCTTAGTGTGACCTCTAACTGTATAAACTAAGATACATAAACTTAGTTAATACCCTCTGGCTGTGCAGGTGAAAATCAGGAACATCTTCTGTTGGATGAAGCAGAGAAGGAATTTAAAAGAACAGAGGAACTGTCCTTTCTTTTTTTAGTGGATGGTTTTGAACTTAGCACAGAACTCCCTGAACAGTCAGAACTTAGACAAAATTTTGAGCATTGCAGCAGAAAGATGCAGCAGTAGCTCCTTTAAATCTTATCTGCTGAGCCCTAGAGACAGTTAGGACTGAACCTTGAACTGAACTTAAACTCTGGAATACTAAGGAGAAGAATGGTTAGTGCAGAAACATTATTAAATATGTGAGGGTACGGTACCTGAGGATTTCAAAATTGTGGCCCTTCCGCTGGCATGCACAGCAACATCAATCGTTCCAATTGTCTTTTCCAGTGACAGGTACAAGGTGTTCGTGGATTTGTTCAATCTTTCAACATTTCTAGTGCCAAGACACTGGATACCAAAGATGAATCCAACGATTCATAAATTCCTTTATACAGCAGAATACTGTGACAGCTCCTATTTTAGCAGTGATGACTCTGACTGAACTATCTAGACTGGTTGCTGCGAAGAACTTCAGAACATTCACCCTGAACTATTCCTGATACTGTTCCTGAACTATAGCAACTGTTCTCATCAGCGTGGGTGTGTAAATATTTATTTATGTACGACAGAACTAGGTGAATACTCCACTTGACTTAGTGAATAAATTTAATTGTCTGTAGAGAAAATAATCTTGCACTGATTCAGGCTCTATTAAAGAAAAAAAATCCAGTTCAAACTAATGGCTAGCTAAATTGAATGTTTTTATCTAAAAATCTATACTTGGAGACAGGAAAAAATTATACAGATTATCATCATCACATCTTATATGTACATATATTTCTGTCAGTTTACTTAATGGCTGTTAGTAATTTACTTTGAGTTGAAGATGTAATTATTCTCATCAACTTAAGATGATAGAGAGCTGTAGAGTTCCAAAAGAAATTTCAGGTTAAGATCTTCAAAAGCTGGATTTTGAACAAATATCCTGAATCTGTGGAAACCCAAGCCTCTGGAATTTTCTTACAAAAGAATATAAAGGCCTTAGAAATACTGTTAAGAATAGTAGAGATAAATGCCTACTTCACGCTTCAAATAAAGCAGTATTCAAGTTATTCTTTTGTTGTCTTCTTCTAAAACAAGCAAAACATTTGCACAACAATATGACAGCTGTTTAGAGTATTTCTTTAATCAAAATATCATTGAAACGAGGATAAAATTGTTGCATCATAAAAGTGAGGTAACTTTGACCACAGGGTAGGATAAAGCTGTGTCATCTTCTCATTAGATGGACTGTTGCTAAATGCTTCTCTGGAAAACACGTTTTCTGCAGGCCTTAAATTCTGGTGAGGAGTTCTGTATCTTTGTGCTCTAGTCAGGCTTGGTTGTACCACATCAGAAGCATAGCTGGACCTTCAATGTTTGATACTGCTATAAAAACACATTGCTCTGATGCCAATTGAGAAGTTTAGCTGTTTTTATCGCATCCCATCAGGAAAGTGTGCTGTTTGTTGTCTGTAATCTGCTAAGGTATGGTCATACTACACAAAATGCTTCTCCTTTTGTTATTCTGAAGTTTAAGCCTGTTAGAGATGGGAAGAGAACTGGACATCTAGCACTTAGGTCTTTTTTTTCCCCACATAAAATAATGACTCTTAGAGAATTAAGGTGACAATACAAGACAATGATGAACATTCATGGCATCTGTTATAAAATCATTACACTAATCATTAGCAGGGTACAGTGAGTGCAAAAGTTATAGAATTGCTTCAAAGCTTTTCGTAACAGTGCTCAATAAAGGACACAGGTAAAGCATTCCAGACGACAGAGTCAGAGCATCTTAGAAATGCTTGTTGTCAGTTCTAGTTACATTTGCCTCCAACTGTAGTTACACAAATCAGCAAAGCTGGAACCACCTTATGATTCCCAGCAAATCTCTCCTACATGAGTTTAATATTTCTGTAGGGAAATCTGCTCTACTTGGAATATGCTGTAATTCCTAACTTCCTAAAGGTGGCAAAGACTTTACATCTATCTACAGCCAGACTTTTTTTTCTATGATAGATAATTTTTTCACTTGTTTCACAGCTGTTCCAGTGTAAGCTGTGAAGTAGAGAAAAGAGGAGTGTGGAACTGAGAGCTACCAAAGCACAGAATGGTTGGGTTGCAAACATTTCTGTCCTGGCAGGGCAGAGATGATGATAAGCCACTCGAATGGCCTTGGTTCATCCAAATACAGTTTCCTTCTTGCTCTCCTACCCCTGTAACAAATTAATTCAGAAGATTACCATATTTGAGGCCCTTTTCAAAATACACCTTCCTACTTCAAAAATCTCTGAAGTCTTATCTACCCAACAAAAGGAGAAAGACTGAAATAGAAGGACTACAGTATTACAGAGACCCTGGCTGCTCTGGAGATTGCTTCATGGCTATTTCACTCCTCTGTTCATCTAGCTTTAGAGAAAAATGTAGGATTTCACGAAAAGGAGGTGTCAACCAGAGATGCTAGAAAAGACAAAACAGGCAGTAAAACGTAAGTGTTCTCTCCTAGCACCCTCCTCTCCTAATTAAAAGCAGACAACCATTGTGTTTCTGATGCTTAAAGCATTTTGATTATACTCCATCATACCACTGATTAGTGGATACAAATTTCATATTTGCTACCACTTCTTTTCTCAAAAGAATTTTTAAAGGAATGTACTTTTTAGTAATTGGTACCTAAGTTCACCTTAGCAGTTTCAATTTCTCTTTGCAACTTCCTTCTGCACGCTCTGTGGTTGATTTGAAGTCTTCTCATTCCGTGGGAGAACTGATACATAACACACATGCCAAATAAAAACATACTTAAAAACTCCAGCCGACCACTTCCTGGGAACTTCCAGGAACTCTTCGTGCAGTCTGTTCTTATTTTAGGAAATGTTGCTTTGAAGTAAAATCTCCATACACAGTGTATGCTAAATGATAATCCTTACTCTTTAGCCGGAATCAAACAAATACTGATGAAACTGTATCTGCTATTCCTATAAATGAAACAAACAACAAACAAAAAAACATAATGAATACTAGAAACAGAGATGTGTCACCAAATAAGTTATCAGAACACATATTCATATTATGTCCTCTCTCTTCCATGCACTGAGTATTGGCATAGGGTGGCGGCAGAAAAAAACACCAAAATAAACAGCTGCAATTCTTATTTCTTCACTGCCTGATATTGTTTGTAGTTGAAACCTATTCTTCTTCTTCCTCTGCGTTCATGTTCAAAACTCAAGATCTTGAGGATTCAGCACAGAATCCCTGCAGATTTACCTGTCTTAGCTCTAGATTCAGAAACTTGGCAGAAAACAAGTATTTAACAATATAAAAGCCACTCAAGTGTCAAGAAATGCAAACAGCAGAAGAGGAAGGAGATGGAGCTCGCGATAAAAGGACGTACCTCCGTACCTTGCACAAAAAGTCACAGACATGGTGCACAATTCTGAAGCACGTGCAGATCCACTTTCCATATCTGTTTGCTGAACTTACATATGTGCATCCACCTGACCAGATCCACAGTTGTTTTACTTACGCTGCGTATAGCAACATCATTAGCTTAGGCTGATGATACACAACTGTGCACCTGACAATGCCATCACCTCTCCATGGTAAGGTACTGTCATACTTCAATTATTATGGCTTATGTATCTTAACATTTGTGTGGTGTTTTTCAATGAACCACGTGGCTAGGTTGAACCAATGACCGCTGTTCTTCTATCTGAACTCATCTAACCTCATTCAAAACGTAGCAATGATATGTATTTCCTCTGTGAGGATCCCACTGTATCACTTTACTTACATGGAACAACACGTGGCTCTTATCGCTTGCACTGTTTTTCAGACTTACCACAGACATTGCTGCCTATCTTAACACGAACGTAGCCATCTATTCCCCATGTGCGGCCCCAAGAGTTCTGTACAATCCAGTAAGGGATGCTACCTGGAAAATACATTTTCAGCAGCTGGAGACAATGTGATCATTAAGAGGTATACGAATGCTAACATTCTATACAGTTAATTAGCATTTTAATATCTCATAGGATGCTGCCTGGATAACATTATACACAGAAGCCTCCTATTGTTCATAGAGAGGACTAACACTTCAGTGTAAGACTGGATATACCCTATGTTAGGGTAGGGATATAGATACCCATGTTCTTGTCTTTACAGGGATATCAAGTCCCACTAAACCAAAGGAACACGGAAAAGAAGAATTTCCTGGGATCAGACTGCACTTCCAGAATTGAGCTGACACCAGCTCAGTTCTCAGATTGTGGATTTTAATATCCTGCCTCACAGGAGGCAAGCTGCAAAGATGAGAAAACAAAACTTAGAAGTTCAGTTGATGTAAACATACCTGTTCTGTCAAAACCAGTGATAAGTACAGCATGATTTGCTTTTCCACTGGAGCAGTGATACTGTATGATCCCACCAAGATAATCCTGCCAGCTAACTGCATCTACTGTTACTGCCAAAGGTCCCCAGTCAACAAGTACTCTCATCATCTCCTCCTCCTGACCACTGTGGAAGCAGTGAGTGATAACACAGAGTTTAAAGTTGGCATAGTAAAGCAATTTGAGAGGCAGTAATCTACTGAAGTACAATTCAATAATCAAATAATTAAGCTTTTTCTTATGAGTTTTACAAATCACATAACATACATCAGTACATACACATTTTATTCACTACAATACGAGGCACACAAACTATGGATCAGGTGCCAGTCCAAAGATACGAGGCTGTTAAAAAGCCTTGGTCAAGTGGGCAACACTAAGCACCATGTACATCTTATCCCCCACTCCTCTCAATTAGAAAACACCTGTATATTGTTACTGCCCCTTAGTTTTTCAAACATTCAGATGAAATTAACCTCATAACCTTTGGCTGACTCCAGTTAGTGAACAGTATAGTGAAAGTACAGCAAATAAAAAGAATCAACAGCAGTTACCTGAAATCATATGCAGCAAATCCTGTTATTGAAACTCCAAAATCTGAGTGAGCGAAATAGTGGCACAGTCCTGTCTGAGCTTTAAAAGTGTACTCTGAATCTCTCACAAGTTTGACTTTGGTCTGCAAAGAGATTAATGAATGAATGTGTTTGATTCAGTCCAGTCAAAACTGGACGCTCAAATGCAAAGAATGAGCCTTGCATAAATGGCCTCTTCTACAGTGGTACTGTACAGCTATTGCTTCAGTTGATTTCAATGGTCAAAGAGTATGATTCTCATCCCTTGTGGGTTGATTTATTGCATTCACAAGCAACATATATAGATTGTGAAATTCAAATCAAGTTTCAGTTCTGCTTGAATTAACAATCCTAGGTTAAATAAATAACCATATACACACAAACAAAAATCAGATGATCCGTAAAGCACATATTCCCTCTTCCCCATCACTTCTTCCCCTGTAAAAACAAAACGAATCAAGCAAACAAAAACGGTGCAAAAAAAGGGTTCAAAATTTATAGAAAGTTTCAAACCTGATTCAGCCAGCTCAAAGCAGTTATTGTGGAACCACCACTGCAACCATAATTACTGTACGAGCAATCGATAACCTGCTGCACGCTGAGTTCTTCCAGATTATTTCCTTTAATTGCATAGGCAGACTCTATACCACCCACAACACTGAAAGCCCAGCAGCCTCCACACTGGAAGAAGATAGGAGGAAAAAAAAGTCAGCTTTGCTTTTTTAACACCATATGGAAAACTGGAAGTATAAAGAGTTTTCCAATGACCTTCATTTACCACATCACTTTTTATCTTCACTTTTATGGCATTACAAATATGGCACTGTTTTTTATCCCTACTGTGCTACTCAGTGAAAACTAAAAATGAATTAAAGGTGTCATATTTTAATGATTCCTTCATGACTCATTTTTGCTAACATTAAAACAGCCCTTTAAAACAGGCCTAGTGACACTTTCTAGTGCTAGATATGTATTTTCTTAATTACAGACTGAGACTTGGGCAGAAATTATTTTTAACCACGTTATTACGCTTTTGAAAAGGATGCACTTAAGGAGACAGCCTGTGGTTTTCTGTTGTCTGAAGAATTTTATATAAATATATTAGATTACAACTTAAGCAGCAGTAAACCAAAATTAAATGGGAGAGAAAAAAATTCTTAATTGATATCACAGTTAGTTTTCTCAACTTTTTAAACCGTGGTGATTTAAACAGAGAGCACAGAGCTTATTCCTAGGTTACATTACACAAAGGAAAGATACTGGGTGTTCAAAAGCTGAGTGCTTCTTATCCTGTTAAGTGTACCAGATGATTATAGCCTATCTGGGATGTAACCAGTTGGGCTCTATTTTCCTGCCATGAAATCACCTCCATGGAGGAGGAGTTTGGTGATAAAGGTATGGGTCTTGACTAGCCATGGGCACTCCAAGCAACAGATCCAGGAGTACAGAGGACAAGAGGTCAAGTACTGAACACGCTTCAGTCTCCAGAAAAAATAAAAATTAAAAAAAAAAAAAAAAATCACAAAGCACTCATGGTGCAAAATATCCGCAGACTTTACCCCCAAAATGTATTATACACAATTAATCACTGTACAATTAACAACTTTTACCTGCGATGCTCTATACCTAAGCCCACTCTTCATAGAAGGCTGTTATCAGTACACAGAGCTCAGAGTCTTGAGGCAGCGCTGATCCTTCCCTGTCCTTCACTGCGCTCTATGATGTACCTCCCAGAACTGTCTCTAACCTGTGCTTGAGAATCAGCAAAAGGAAATCACCGCCACTTACTGTCTGCTGATTTCTCACTTCTGCAATGACTTTCTTGTCCCTCCAGTCAAACTTCTTTGGCAAAGGTTTTTCCTTTCCCTTTGGCACTTTTATGTATCTGGGGAGTTTGTGAGGTATGCTTCTTAAGTAAATAGCTGAACATGGAACACAAACATTTATAAATCTGCTTAAACAAATGACAAAAACAAATAAACAACACAAACCCAACCTGTTTTACTAGAAACCATATTGGTAACTTTGATCTGTAGTTACAATCATGAAATGGCACAGGATTCTCAAATCCATAGCGCAGTCGTCACAGTCCAGAACTAATTTAAATATTCTTACAGTTTCAGAAAGAACAGAAATATGCCGTGTGGGAAACATGAAGATAATTTTGTACCTTTGAACTCTTCAGGAAAGAGGTGAGAAAACTGATTTTTTCCATAGAAAGCAGATCCATTATCATTTGATGGTGAATTCAGTAATCTAATTCTTTTCGCGCTTTCCTGAATGAAAACAAAAGTACTGTGGCTGTTATTAAGTTAGCAGCAGTGAAAAAAAACCAACAACTGTAAGAGCAGAAGGTTACCAACAGCAAACGTGACCATAGAATCAGAGAACCACTGAAGTTGGAAAAGACTTCTAAGATCACCGAGTCCACCCACCAAGCCAGCCCCACCATGCTCACTAACCTGCCTGTCAGCGCCACATCCACCAACACCTCCTGGGATGGTGACTCCCCCACCTCTCTTGGCAGCCTGTGCCATTGCCTCCCCACTCTTTATTAGAAGTAGTTTTTCCTAATATCCACCCTGAACCTCCCTCCCTGGCACAATTTACAGCCAGAACCCCCTTGGTAACTTGCTGAGCTCACATTCAGCTCAGACTCACCCTGGGCTCTTATCAAGCCAGTCTGAAAGTGATTAGACTAATTTTAGCTTCGGGAAGCACACAAAGAGACACAAAGTGCACAGATGGTATAAAATCAATATAAGACCAACAAAATAAGCTGACAACAAGTGGTGCCAAAATCATCTGACGCCCCTTGTCGGGCAGCACAACACGGAGACGCGTGAAAACATTTCATCCTTAGATAAGATTTAACCTCGCCTCGACTTATGTCGCAGAACTAACATAGCGTGTACGCAGCATAAGGAATACCCAAGGGGGACCCGGCTACTGCCGTCATGCTGCCCCCTGGCGGCGGGAGCGGGGAAGGAAGGAACCCGCAGGCATAGCGGCGAGCGGGGCAGCAGTGCAGCAAGGAGCGGGCAGCAGTGCAGCAGGGACTGGGCAGCAGTGCAGCAGGGACTGGGCAGCAGCACAGCAGCACAGCAGCGCAGCAGTGCAGCAGGGCAGCAGGGCAGCAGTGACCTACCCGCAGCGCCGCCGCTTCTTCCTCCCGTCCTCCTCCGTTCCACGGAGGACGCCCAACAGCGCCCGCGGGCACCGGGAACGCGGCGTGGGCCGCTCGCAGCAGGCAGCACGCCAACCCCAACGCCAGCACCCCCATCATCACCGCGGGCCTCCCGGCCGCGCCCCGCACCCTGCCGGCTTCCTGCCCGCTCCGCCCCCGCCTGCCGAGTCATAGCGGGTGGGGTCTCAAGAGACACCCCCACGTCGGCACAGTTTGCGGCCGGCTGCTTGCAGGGAGAGGCGGGGTTGAGCTTCTCGTTTGCATGGCTGTGCAGGAGTAGGGCAGTGCGGCGTGCGGGCGCTGCAGCCGCTGGCGGCGAGGCAGGAAAGGGCGAGGGCTGGTGGTGGTGGTGATGGCTGCAGAGTTTTAGGAGAGAGAGCGTAGTTGTTTCTTGGGATAGCAGAAACGCGGCTTGCAGCTCTTAGCATGTGAAGGGGCCAGTGAGGAGCAAGCAGGAGCGTGGCTGTATGGGCGTGATCCGTCGCTTCCCTCGCGTGCTGCTCCTGAGTCAACTCCGTCTCTGCTCTCTGCAGCTTTTCCTCACTCAGGTGTGGGGAGCGCGTTCTGTCGTGTTTATTTCCTAGCTCTGAAGCAACGAGGTGCCCCGCTCCTGTTTCACGTACCCGAGTTTGCTCTCTTCTGGAAAATGGCTTTCAAACAAAGAAGAAGTATCTTATTTTATGCTGGTAGCTCATGTTGGAGGAGGTGCCTGATGGCTCAGTCGGTGCTTGCCTGGTGTATCCCCCCGGTGTGGCTTTGCTATTAAAAAGCAATGGGAAACTTTCTCTGGAGTATGCGTTATCGGAATTATTATGTGCCAGAGGAAGTGAAAAACAAACAAACAAAAAAAACCAGTACTTTATGATATACCAACAGCTTCTTCCAGTCTATCCTGCTGGTTAAGGAGCTCGTATTTGTGGTGTAGAACTGCCTTTGCTGTGAAACACATGAGGGCAGCAGAGGACTTTTGGAAAGGTAATACCAAACCGTGCGGTTCCTTAAAAAAAAAAAAAAAAAAAAAAAAATAGAAATAAGCAATCTTAAAGGTATCCGAAACAGGCTCACGTTAAAATATAGATTTATAGCATATCGACAGGCAGGCAGCCCCTGCTCTGTTCTGAATTACTCTGGTATAAATCTAGTCCAGCTTCATAAAGATAAAAGAAAATATAGAGGTCACCCCAGGCAAGTGATCTGTGTGATTTTATTTTATTTTATTTTTTATTTTATTTTTTATTTTATTTTTTATTTTATTTTATTTTTATTTTATTTTATTTTTATTTTATTTTATTTTTATTTTATTTTATTTTTATTTTATTTTATATTTTTTATTTTATATTTTTTATTTTATATTTTTTATTTTATATTTTTTATTTTATATTTTTTATTTTTTTTGACTTTGTAAGATTTTTTTTTTCCCCTGGAATTCTATTGAATATTCTATTGGTAGATGCTTATTTTTTAATAGCATTTTATATCTTTGCTGCTCTTGCTGTTTGCTAGAAATATTTAATGAATATTTCTTCCAACGCATGCTAAAAGAAGCAGCAATAATGTATATGTTTTGGAATCCCTAAATTCGTTTAAAAACACTTGCTTTGAATGAGGTATTCCAGTATTAACAGAACCTGTTTCTTAGTAGGTGCAAAATTCCCATTTTTAAAGTGATCCATAGCTGACACTGGTATAGTTGAAGGATTTTCATAGTATGACAGAGTTAGACAGCATACTTACACTTACTAGACTACCTTTATTTTTCTCCCCCCTCGCAGTGAATTTTCATGGATTACTCTTGCTGCACTTTGGCCTGTGTTTGTAATTACCATGGCAAACTGGGAAAAAGTACAGTAAGTGACTTCTGAGATGAAGATTGGTCTTCCAGGGTTGGGTAGTGCCACTGGTGGGTGCAGTTGTGAAATGTGGCAACCAAGTGGTAATTCACCTGTTGGGGTGATGTGTCCCCTGCACTTTATCTACATGGACTTTGGCCTTCCATGTCAGTAGAGGATGTTTAAAGAATGAATGTTTAAAAGGCAAATGAATCCCTTTGTATTGTGCAGTCCTCAGCCTGCTAAAGGAGAAATAATCTAAATCCTGCAGCAGGGGGAGCTGAGCGCCTTGTCTTGAAAAGGCTTGTAGGGAAATACAGCTTCAGAAGAAGCCTAAGGCTTCTACTCATTTAAAGGCTTGCAGTGGTTTTGCTCTCTAAATACAGTTGCAGTGGTAACAATTATTATGTTTAATTAAAAAAATGAAAATTGTAATTTTGGGGTGAAATCTGGTCCTGTTTAAGCCATTGTGAAGGTGAATAAGCAGCATTGCTGCAGCTAGCATTCTGAAGCCCTCTTTTATCAGCCTTGAGTTAGACTTCAAAGTTCATAAGCAGCAGAGGAAATTACTCATGGCAGTGTTGGTATTTGCAGGAATAATAACTTTGTAAGGGGTAGCTGGATTTTGAAAAATGTCTTGGTTGGCCGAGAATATTTTCCTGTTAGTTATCTGGAAGTGTTCAAGGCCAGGCTGGATGAGGCTGTGAGCAACCTGGTCCAGAGGGAGGTGTCCCTGCCTGTAGCAGGGGGTTGGAATGAGGGATCTGAAAGAGCTGTCAACACAAACCATCCTGTGATTCTATCTTCCTTTGCAAACAGTGAAATAACTGTAGGACCTCCTTCTCAAGCATGGCTCTGTATTTCACTTGAGTGTCCTAAATTCTAGTGAGTCTCCAACTTTTTTCTCTTATTCCTCTTCTCTCTTCAGTCTTTTCAGTGGAGTGAAATATGAATGCAGAAGGCTGGCTGCTTAATTATAGGATGAAGCGCTCCGGTTAGTGCTATTTTGCAGAATATCCTTTGGTAAATTTCTCTAAATCCTCCAGTTGATTTGCTGATGTATCCTTCCTGAATACATCAGCATCTTTGTCTAGTGAGAGGACAGGAGGACTTGCCAAATTCAAGTAGAAGGAGAAAGAGGTGCAGCTTAGAAATGTGTTTATCCTGCATAGATTTTTCACTCATTACTTTGGATTATTTCCTGTTCAGTTGTAAGAACTGAATTTGCTACTTAGGAAGAAGTGCAGTGGGAATGTGCCATATAAGGAGGACTTAGAAGTTGTTATACTGATGAAAAATCTGGAGCCAAAGTAAAGGACAAAATGGTTCAAGGCCTCAGATAATTTTCACTCCTCTAACATTGATGTAATCATCCTCTGAATCAGAATTTGAGCATGTTTGGGAGCTAAGATGTTGTAAGGAAAAGAACTGTGTGCACATAAGTTGTCAGGCAGCCAAGTCCATCCTGGGCTTGTAATTATACTTTTTTTTCCCACTTAAATTACTATTTTTTTTTTCAAATAAATATTGATTGTTTTATTAAGCTGCTCCTTTGTATACAAAAATATAGTTCCACAGTTATTGTTTGGTGCTGGTGGTGACTGAAGGTAGGGTAAACCAGGAAGAGTTCCTTTGAAGTGAATGTGGAATTGTCCTGATATATGTAATGCTGTGTAGATAGAGGTTCCCAGATGATTAAATTACATTGTTTTGAAAAATTTAGAGCATCTCAGGAATTGTTGTATACAGGGAAAAAGAAAATTTCATCGATTCCTCAAGTATTTATTGTATTTCATTGTATTTTTATTGTATATTATATAATATGAAGCATAATGGCAGCTTACTTCACACTTTCTCCTTTAGCAAAACTTAATCCTGGTTCTAAAAGGATGCTTCCTGGTGCCTGAGGCTTGAAGTTGCCTTGTTTGGGTCCATAAGGATATGGCACTTCTGCTCTAATTTGCTCAGGAAGTAGAAACCTTGTAGGTTATCTTACAAAGCAGTTATGATTAATTTAGCATTTATTGTTCTATATATTATAGATTATCATGTGTAGCTGACCAGAGAAAACTAGAAAATCTCTTGAAAATCCTGACTGTGGCAGGTGTTACCCTCTTAAGAGCAAAACTTTCTTGTAGCTCAGCTTTTCCTTGGGACATGAAGAATTTATGAAACGTGAAGCCCTTCTTTCTAGTAGGCAGGGCAGTCGTTGAAAAGGTCATCTTTTAAAACAGTTTGAAGTACGTTCTGCATTACAAAAAGCATTTGACATTTCATTTTTGCCCTGCTTTTTCACGTGTAGCCATGCACATAGCACCTATGGTGCATTTGCTGCTGTAACTCAGTAGTCAGAGTACAAGATCACAACTTGCTAGAATTTGAAGGAAAGTAGTTTCTGCTTAATTTTGGATCACATGTCAAATCCTTTACATCTACATTTAAGTTTCAGTTAAAATGATGAATATCACTGTAATTTTTTAAACATCTTTTTTAATAAATACCTTGAGGTAATTCTTAAAGGAATATATAGTCTGAAAAAATAAATATGCATTCAGGATTTTCAAGACAGAACTTATACGAGTGCTAAGTTGCAACTTCCTATGCTTTGTGCCCATTAGCTTTGTCAAAATGTTTGTTACCAGTGTGTCACTAGGCTAATGTTCTGCTGGTGAAATGTGTTGGGTTTTTTTTTTTGTGTGTGGTTGTTGCTGGGGTGTGGAGGCGTGATATTTATGAACAAGTGTTAATGAAGTCAGTATATTCAGCAATCAGTATATTCCCTGAGCTGTCTCGTGAAGAATCCTGCTAGCTGTTCACAGCTCTGGAGCAGACAGTGCTCTTTGTTGGCAGGTCAGTAGGTAGAGAAAGGAGATGTGTGACCCATGTTTCCATTTAATTTGAACAGAGCTTCTCTTTGAAGTGGCTAAAGAAGTTGTATAGCCTTGCTACCAGGCTGAACTCAGATTACCAGAGGACATTATTAAGAAGAGTATGTTACGTTGGAGTCTGCAACTCGAGTGCCTTAGCTGTGAGCCATGGACTCCCTGTGTTGTAGGTGGAACACAAAGCAGTATACTTACCAATAAAGCCAAGTGTATGGGTGCACTTTTCCTTAAGGATGCACTATCTATCTTGTAGTTGTGGAATGAGGTGAGATTGTCCCCTTATAAGCATTAAAAATCCTTTCTTTATGGAGCCAAATGCATAGGGAGATTTTTAATTTTTATTTTTTATTTTTTTGCCTTCCCAGCCAAAATATAGCCACTATGGCAAGTCCCTGTTACATCTTCTAGCAGCCTGGAGTGACTGAACTCTTGGCAGCCTCCTGCATCCCTACTTGAGCCTTCCTGTGCTCAAGAGATACCAGGTGACACAGGCAAAAATGAAGACCTTCACTGTTTTATTGGGATGCTGAGACCAATGCTCCTTTTTATTGACATTAAGCTTTTCTTAGGACCTCGAAGTTGAGATTAAGGCTTAATGCCATCTTGCTTAAAAGCTAAGTTTGTAGTGTGCTACAATTTCCTCACTATTTAAAACAGCATCCCATCAGTCTGTAGTTTTGTTCACTTGTTTTTCTGATCACCTTGGAAAGGGAAGGTTTGTTTTTGTTGTTTGTTTTTTTTTTTTTAACCTCCGCTGCAAATCAAAATATGAAGACAAAAAGATCAGCATGTGGTCTGCTGTAAATAGGTGTTTCTTAAGTGTGAATATAGTACCTAGTTAGAATAGAACTACTTGCACATGAAAGCTTGGTAAGTGATGAGCTGCAGACCCCTTTGGCTTGTCTGGTTAGCCTTCCTTAAATTCATTAAAAAACACTCTAGTGGATTTTAGTCTATGAACACTTCGTTCTTAATAATCTTGCAGTTGCTGAATTACAGCCTTTGGAGAATAGAAAGAGAAGCTAACAAGATGACAGAATCTAAAAATATCTCCTTACTTTCTATGTGAAGTATCCTTATAAATGCACTTGGTTCACTGAAACGTTGAACTCTGGGTTTTTGACGTAGTTTTCAGTAACTGTGTGGAAGAAATACGGAGTGGTTTTAAGGCAGGCTTAGTAGTTGAATTCTGATTCAATAATCTGGTGATTATTCCTGGTGAATCTGGTAAGATAGAAATTTTGACTTCTCAACTTAGTCGTTGTCAGATCAATTTGATTCTTGTAACCATTCAACCAACAAGGATGAAAATGTAGTAAGAGCAATTGTATCACTAATAAAACACGGTACTAAGTTGACTGTTCAGCAGACAGGATGTAGAAGGATAGAAAGCATAATAATAACTTCATTATGTTAAGAATTAATTTTTAGGAGAAAATCACATTTATTTTTTTTTTTATGGAGGATCATTTGAGTAGGACAGAGTAGGGACTGTTTAAAAAAAAAAAAAAAAATGACTCTATAAAGGACTTTGGACTCAGAGTATCCAAGAAAAACAGTAAATAGAAGGTATTCAGGTAGAATAGTAAGTAGAAGATATTCAGTTGAATCAAATGCACAAGAGTGGTGTGTTTCTCCTTAGTAAGAATTCCAAGGTTTGATCTAATAGTTGATTTACATACTGTATTATCCCTTTAAACTCTGTTTATGGGCTGGCTTGGCCCAGTTCTGTGACTAGTGGGGTGGGGGCACTTACAGATCCATGCCTCCGAAAAGGGGAAATGGGGGAAAAGGGTAGGGAGGTGAGCCCCAAAATAAAACAGCAGCAACGATGTGAGGAGAAACAAACTAATTTACTGAATGAGATATCGGAATGCAACACACTGTAATACGGTATAATGGAGTATAATTATAATAGCAGCTAATAAATATAATGAGTGTCTGAAAGCCAAAGCCTTACTGTAATGCTGAGGCGAGACGTGCGGTTGGAGCAAGATGAGCCAGACAATCAAAAAGGAATTTCAGGTGACCTACCAAAGCCTTTATTTGTTTCCCTTGAGTAGAAATGACAGCAGAACAGCAAACAGTCCTCTGGGGAGTGCAGTAGTTCTTCTCTTCTGGGACACGGACCTGGACCATTAACTCTTTAACTCCCAGTGCAATACATGATGTTATGATATGGAATACCAATAACCAAAAATCATAAAACCATGACAGTATGATGCATGTCCTACTCATGTAGCAGCAGGGATGAAAATGGTATTTTGCTCTTGCAGAGTACTGTACGTATTATGCAGGCACTCATTAAGTGTATTTGTGTTCTATTCTGCAATGAATAGCTTTCGTTAAAACATAATGTGCTATCAAGACAAAATTGTCTATGTTATTTTCCAATTCTTTTTCTTCACTTATAATCTACTGTACCATGTAAGCACTGCAATTTTAAGGGAGGTTCAGATGGACAGCTGTGGAGATTTCCACAGGAAAGGTTATACTGTTCTTGTGCCATTACAAGTTAGCTTTCCTAAAATCGGTATGTAACTGGAGAGCTAAAGCAGGCAGGATCCTCATGTGTTATATAATACCTTTCACGTTTGACTCGGTGTTTATGTGCCAAACAGAACGCATCTTAAAGTCAGGAGTAAGTAAATGATGGAAGCACCTACTTTTTGAAGGATTTGTTATAGTCCAGCTGTTTAAGCAAGACTGATAATCCAATTGTTAACTCTTCCTGGCTGACGTGACTTATACCTTGATTATAGGAGTTCTACAGTAAAGAATAAATAATGATTGCACAAAAAATCAGCAGCTGTGAAGCTCTGGTTTGATCACTTTTAAGTTCACTACTTCCCTGAAGCAAGTATTTATTTTTTCAGAAATGTCTGTTTTCTTGGGTCACCAAGGAATGTTTTTCAAAAAAGCCAGCAAAGCCAAATCAAATTCTCCATTTTTTTTGTTTCTGTGATCAGCAAATGAGTTATGTGGTGGGGTTTCTAATATTGTATGAAGCTTAATATATCCGAATTCCTAAAATTGCCTTGTTTTTTCATATCCTAGGTCTGTGTTGTATCTATTTCCAGGAGAAAATATGATGTTCAGAGCAGCAAGTCAGAGAAGAATTCAGCTTTTTCAAAGGCTTCCCTTTCAGAAGTAGGACTAAGTTTGAAAGAGCCTGATGTACCTACAAGTGTGTGCAGACTAAGAACTGACAGAAGTTGCTGGATCCAGTTGCATTTCCTTGGTCTTATGAGTAAGTATGCTAAGATTCATCTTAATTGTAGCTTCTTAACAAGTCATGTTCAAAGTGCTACGAATTGTGACTTCTTTCTGCTGCCTTTTGCCACAGAGTTCTGTGTAGGTTAGGACTCAGAATGCTCTCCTGTTTTAACAGCCTGGAGCGCCATGTCTCAGATGATTGCCTATTATTTGCCTGCTGTAGAGAGCCTGTTTTGCAGGGAGGCTGGACTCAGTGGTCTCTGGAGGTCCCTTCCAGCCCCTACAATTCTGTGATTCTGTTCCTTGTTTCCCTCCTTTTCTTTCTTGTTCTTCTGTTAGAAAACCTGTACGTGCAGCCTTATTACTATAAATCTGTACCTCACTCCATAAGGGCAACTGGCTGAGCCAGGCTGGCAGTACTGCATTGTCTGCAGAAATAAATGTTCTGCATTATCTTTTCAGTGCTGCAGTTCTCAAAATGGATTCTTTTTATTAAATCAGCACCTCTAAATGACTGCCTTAAAAACACTACTGTAATTTCATTAAATTTTCTTGCCTATTGGAAGTAGAAATACATATTGATATAGATAAGCAAGCTAATAGAAGTTGAAAGTAGCAAGAAAGCCATACTGATTATTAGTATTTAACTTCCTTGAAGTATGATTATCTGTAGGAAGGTGTTAGATAAAGCAGATACTGAAACAACTGACATTATATAGGTACTTTGATGTGTGAACTGGATGCAGTATATTCATTTATAAAAACACTTGTGTATTGTTGAATTTTCTCCTGGAATGTCCATTGTCTTAGATACTTAGGCAAAATGGGAATTTGATGAAGTGACACTTTTCCTTTTAAGATGCATTACTAAAAGAGGAAGTAAGAACAGCGAGTCAGCACCATGTGGCCATTCTGCTGTCTTTGAATGGTTGATGTGTTCCAGAGATCTTTCTGGTAAATGTCTTGGGATCATTCTGCAAGGTCTTCATAGAAGTTCAGTTCTGGTCACAAAGTTGTATTTGGATGCTGCAGTTTCAAGAAGACTGAAACATCTCCGTAAAATCTCCTTGGGACATGTGACAGATTTGTCATATGTCCTACCACAATGCTATTGTTTCACTCTCGTTGTTTGTATGGACACAGAAAAAAGCAATGGAGAATTATGCATTTGGTTTTGGTACCAGACTTCTGATTGTTGCACTCCTGTCTAGTTATTCTATCTAGCTGGTATATCAGATATCAGACATTATGATATTAAACTCTGTGTTTGTATTTAATATCCAAAATAAAATTTCCAGTACAATATATATCATTGCAAAGTGAATGAAGCAAATTTGGTGTCTGCTTATATCCAAGTATGTATGTGTGTGTGTGTGTGTGTGT